GAAGGAAGGAAGGAAGGAAGGAAGGAAGGAAGGAAGGAAGGAAGGGAGGGAGGGAGGGAGGGAAGGAGGGGAGGGGATGGGAGGGGAGGGAAGGAAAAGGAAGGGGAGGGGAGGAAAGAAAACCTAAAACATTGTGGTAATTTGAATGCTAGTTTACAAGTGGACCCCTCTGCACTTAGGATGAGAATCAGATGTCTGAAACCGGGCCTGATGTTACACACATGGTGGGGCTGGGGAAACATGGGTTTGGCAGTTTTTCCCAAGGAGATGCAGCAGATAGCAGGTTTTCCCACTTAGCCGTCCTTTCCCTACTGAACATTCTCACAGCCCTCTGACTCCCCTGAGCTCGATTTCCACAGCCGAGAACAGATGGAGTCATCCCATGTGGCCATGCTGGACCTGGAAAAATATGAGGATTCCCACCTGGGGGGATACCAGCGGATCTACCCAGGGCCTGGCATGGAGAAGTACACACCCTTCTTTAAGCACAATGGCTCCCTCTTCCAAGAGACTGCTGCCTCCAAGGCCAGAGAGGAGTGTGCCAGGTACTTTGCCCTCCACTTACCTCTGTACATACTGGTAAGAGCAAATCCTGAAGCTGAACTGCTTCCTAATGGGGCAGGGGGCAGACACACAAGGAAAGAGGAACATGAGGTGGGGCGTGGTGTTGCACACCTGTAGTCCCAGCACTCAGGAGGCTGAGGTAGGAGGATCACTATAAGTCTGACGCACCAGCCTGGGCTACATAGCAAGACCCTGTCTCAAAAAAAAAAAAAAAAAAAAAGAGGAATGGAGCTAAAATTCTTTTTTCGTTGTTGTTAAAGCAAAATATTTATTGGTATATTTTAGATATACATAATGATGTATCAGACTCTTAGTGTCTCTTTCCATTCAGTAGGTTTTCCATCTTCCCCCTCAATCTCATCCCACCGGGCCCAAGACTACATCACAATTCCTACTCTTTCCTCATCTCCATTTCCCCGAACTCCTCCCCAGCACCATTTCTTCTGTGTCTGATCCTGCTTTGTCTTGTCAGACAGCAACTGGAAGAGATCCGCCTGAAGCAAGAACAGCAGGAAAATGCAGGTACCAAGAGGCGGAAGGAAAACAAGGACCAGAACCTGGGTGAATCAGCTGGAGTGAAGAGCAGACCCAGAGCTGGGCCCTGGATCCACTTGGCTCACAGGATGCAGAACTGGGAGAAAGAGGCCTCAAAGGTTTTGTGGCTCCTATCTTTCTGCTGGAAAATGGGCTGAGACTGCTAGAGAAGAGACTCTCTGCTGTCCTCTCTTCCCCTTGTGCATGAGATGAGCTCCTACTTAGTAAAGTAAATCTGATCTTTTGAACAGGAAGTGAGAGAATGGGCAGCAAAGGGAACCTTACAGGAGAGCCTAGGCAGGGTTGGAAGTCCAGTAGGCAGGAGTCCTGCAGCCATCCTTCCTAATGGTTTGGGACTCATCCTTGGAGGGCCTGCATTGACCTCTCTGGTGCTTTGCAGCTGCTACCAGTACACTCGGACACCATGCAGCCTTAAAAAATTGTGGAAGAAGAAGAGCTAGAGCGGATGAAGGGCCTGCTACAAAGGGGGAATCTCATCCGAAGCCTGGGTATTGTGGAGCAGCTCACCCAAATGCTCCACTTTAGCCACCGGTGCCAGAGAAAGCTTCATGAGTATCGGATGAGAGTCCCTATGAAGCTTCTCACAAAACAAGGGAACAAGGGCTGTGAAAGCAGCACACGGTAGTGGTCACCCAAGGAGGCTTATGTGGTGGTATCTGTGGAACCTCTGAAAGCTGAGTGTGCTGGGCCTTGGGAGAGGGTCTGTCTGTTCCTTCTGGATCTGTTCCCAAGCTCTATTATTTTTGGTAGTGACATCCAGCAAAGTGCAGCTCCCAACTTTCTCAGTTACGAGGGACTTGCTCTCATTCTATCGCTACCTCACAGTGACCCAAAACTCATGACCGACAACAAGGCTCCCATTACCCTGTGTGGTCTGTGTGACCCTCTCCCCAGCACTGCCAGTAGTATCCTGGCTCTAATGGGAACTGAGTAAACAGTTTTGGGCCAACAAAACAGCTGCTGCATTCAATATTCCCTGGGCTAGAAGCAATCCTCTTGGGCCCTGGTTTTGTTGAACCCCAAAGTAGCTGGCTAAAAGGTGCCTATGACCTAGAAGAGATTTTTCAGTTACCTGTTTCTTCTGGCACTCTATCCAGCCTCACAAAAAGTGTGGTAAGGGGGTGCTCTTCTCCCTCTAGCCTAGATTTCACCACGACAGGCTGGGCAGTCAAGAAATGCAGTCTCTGAGGCTCTTTCCACTGGTGCTCCTGAGAGAGGCTGCCTCAGAGCAGGGCCATCCTCATTTCCTGCAACCACTTTGGCCCCAAGAATTGATCCCCAGGATCTTAGGGCCACTGACAAGCATGAATGCCGCAATTCTGAATCATTCTCAGTGCCATCTGAACTCCAGCAACCTCTACTGGACAAGAGATTCAGCAACCAAGGGCCCCTGTTCATTGTCAATGAAGAAATCTGGAACGCACTATTTTTCCAGGGCTAGACTCAGGCTTGCTGGCCATAAGTATATAAAACTAGCTTTGGTCACTTTGATCCACATAAATTCCCAATAGCAAATACGACAGCTGGGATGATCCCACAATATAATGTGGCACCTCTAGTAGTGTCCTAGGGGGGAGCTGGTGGCCCATTTATTTACCTACTTCTAAATACAGTATTAGCCCCTGATGATAGAAATGGCAGAAATGCAGTCCCAGACCTCAACAAAGGTAACAGAAATGGCCAAGTAAACAAGTAAATATATCAATGACAATAGTGTGGGAAAGATGCTGGAGGGAAGGATGTGCGCCATTCTTCGGATTGGTAATGGACCATAGCTGAGAAAGAGGTGAGAAAATCTCTTCTGTGTGTACCAACTGGGGCGGGGCGGGGGGCATCCCTGTTTCCACTGCCGAAGGCTAAGCCCCCAGAAGGTTAGAAGCCATAAGCCGAGCCCTGGCAGGATCAGTGCCATCCATTTTAACCTCAAAACAGCACTATCTTCTGCAGCCTGGAAGAGTGGAAAGGGACTCTTGGACTGAATCCACCTTGCCTTCCATGCTAAACTCTGAATGCAGAGCAGCCAAGGCCGGGGATGTCGCCCTCTGTGCGGCCTCTGCGCCCGTGCTGCGGCGCCCCAGCACACTCCTCAAAGTCAGCCAGCACAGGTAAAGGCAAGAGGGGAGCCCGGCACCCACCCTCTCCTGGAGAACTCTCGGGTTTCCAGAGGAGCAAAAGCCCTTCAATCTTTGCTAAATGAAAGACTGCTACTCCAGCGTGAAATTCCCTGGCCAGGAACCTTGTTAGCAAAAGGCAAAATACAAAGACACTAAGAATTCCTCAACCCCTTTTGGAATCGGTAAAGATAAGATGAACAGCGGATGTCGGCCTTGTACTCATCTCCGCACGGCAAGTCCTAGCCTGGGTTTATCGCTAGCTGATGGGTCTGAACCTTGGGTGCTTGGGAGGCCACTCCGGCGACAAAGGTCTTTCCTAGTGGAGCCAAGTGCCCACGGCACGGAGATCTCGCCATCAGAAGACTGCTAAGAGGACGCCTTTCCTGCCACCCTGGCGGAGAAAGGCAGGCCTGGACAGCCTGAGACAGAAGAGTGGCTGCTGCCAACTGAATCTGTCTTTTTATTAAAGTTTATGTCGTTTTCCAGGAGCGTCTCGTACCTCATTTTTTTTTTTTTTTTTTGACGGGACCTTGAGCTTTCTAGGCAGGCGGCGGCACCACTGAGCTACATCCCCAGCCCCGAACCTCACTTTTGCCCTCGGGTTTCAGGGACGGTCTCAGCACAGTTACCTAGGCGAAACGTGAGGCGAAGCGTGAGCCAAAGGGCAGCTCCGCCCTGAAAGACTCACGACCTCTACAGCTTCGGTCGGCCCCTTCCTTTTCCGGGCCCGCCCCGCTACTTCCGGTAGGGTCTCGTCGCGGGGTCTGCAGGAGTGGTTTTTGTCGCCATGGCAGCTACCTTGACCCTTTCGCTGACCGGCCGTGTCCGGGCGGCGGTCGCGCGATGTGGGTTCGTAACTCGGGGGGTGGCAGGTCCAGGACCTACCGGTCGCGAGCCCGACCCCGATTCTGACTGGGAGCCAGAGGAGCGGGAGCTGCAGGAGTTGGAAAGGTATCGGCTCCTTCGCAGGCCCTCAGCCTGAACCACGGCGCCGCGTCCCGGCGCTCGGGGCCGCGCCCCCTTGTCGCAGAGTGTCCTGCCTCCGCGTCCGCAGCAACCCTACTGTATTCTCTTTTTACGTGTTGTGAGGGCCTCAGGGCTGGTGTTCAATTTCCTAATGATTGCGGGTCCCATTGCTAGTGACGTTATTTCATCATCCGTTTAGAGAGTTCGACTTGCTTACAGACAGTTATTGTTTTAGCTGTTCAGATTCTGGGGCGGTGTACACAGCACTCTAAACTGCTAAACATGGCTCAGTTGTCTTTGCGGACTGGGAAGTCGACTGGGCTGTCTGAGATTTAGCCCGAAACTCTTCAACACCCATCTTGCTTGCACGCATGGCTTCTGCCATTGGTTCTCTCTCTTAGCACCCTGAAACGGCAGAAGAAAGCAATCCGACTCCAGAAAATCCGGAGGCAAATGGAGCCGCCAGGTCCCCCTCCCAGAACCCTGACTCGGGCAGCCATGGACCAGATCCGGTAAGACTCAGTGTAACTTGTTGGTTGTGATGGAAAGTGAAGGACACTAGGGGCAGGACATGAATTTGGCATTTTTAAAAAATAATTATTTTTTAAACCGGGCGTAGTGGTGCGCTCCTGTAATCCTGTCTTTGGAGAGGCTGAGGTAGGAGGATGGCCACCAGTTCAAGACCAGCCTTGCCTGCATAGTGAGTTGCAGGTCAGCCTGAACTACATAGACCTAATCTCAAAAGACGAGAAAAAAGAAGCAGAGCCAGGGATATAGCTCAGTGGTGCTGCCACCTGCCTCAAAAGCACAAAGTCCTAAGGGCCGCGGATTTACCCCAGTGGTTCCGCTGCATGCCTTGCAAGCCAAAGGACCCGAATTTGATCCCCGGTACCAAAAAAAAAAAGCGCAAGGTCCTGAGTTTGATCCCTGGTACCAAAAAAAAAGGGAGAAACAGAGTGGGCAGTTCCCTTTCTGTCTCTCTTAGAAGCTATCTTTCTCTCAATACATTTTTCTTACTCTTAAAAAAAGACTAAATAATAATAATGAAAATTATTTTCACACTGAGCTATATTCTCAACTTCTTTTTTTCCTTTTGGAGACAGGATCTCACTAAATTCCCCAGGCTGGGCTCAAACTTGCATTCCTCCTGCCTCAACCTCCCAGAATGCTAGGATTACAGAGGGGCACCAACAGGTCTGGCTTATATTTTATTATTTATTGAAAATTTTAAACAGAAGTATAATAATAAACTTCTAATCTTAGATTTAGGTCATCTAGATTTAATTTTTAATGTTATGACACGGCTTGTTTTTTGCTTAACTTTTTAAATAACAAATTGTAGATGCCACATTTGATATCTAAATAGATCATGGGATTCTTAGCCCAAGGTCCAGAAATGGGCCTTCCATGGTTATATGCATTTTCCATAACTTAGAAAAATCTTAAAAGGGATCTTTTAAAAATTTTAAATTTAGAAAAATTTTCTTTCATTTGAAAACATTTTAGTAGGTAATTTATTACCTGTGGCTCAAAATTATAACTACAGCGTGGTGTATACTTTGATTTATTTGTCCCAGTTTTGTATGACCATTTTTACCGGTTTTTGTGTCTTTTTCCAGAGTTCCTTATGCAGGTACAAGCAAGTATGACTGTAAATTTTTACTTTCACCTCCTGTATCACAAACATAACATACTATGAATTTTATTCTGCACTTCTTTTTTCACTTAAATCCTATAGATTTTTCCATTCAGAAGAGAGAGCTATGTATTTCTCTCTAGCTTAAGTAAACCATAGTTTATTTGACCTTTCTTATGTTGGGCGCTTGGGTTGTTTGCACTCCTTTTGCTTACAAATAGTGCTCCAATGAATAACTGTATACACATCATTTAGTGTATCTGCCAGCAGTATTTGATGTATATGTTCCCAGAAACAGGCTTACTGATAAAAAGACAAGTGTATTTGCATTTTGATTAATATTATTAAATAGCCCTACATTGGTTATGTACCATTTTCCATGTCCATGGAGCGGAGAATGACTCTGGTTGTGACTGAGAATGAAGAGGATTTGTAGAACTGGTCAGGACTTTGTTAGCCTATAGCACTTTTCTTCTGGGTCCCCAGTTGGCTTCCTACTGTCTGAACCCAGAGCTGTGCATGTGCTAGGCAAATGCTTCTCTGTACCATTGAGTTACATCCCGGGCCCATCAGCTCTCTTCTGTCTAGAACAAAATAGCTTTTCAAACCCTAGTAAATCCCCTTTTGTGGTCAATAAATACCTTCAACTTCAAAGAAAAAAAAATTGGCCATTATTAAAATCTTTTCAGCTTCCTGGTCTTGCTCTTTACCTTCAGTTGTCATACTGTACTTCCTTTTTTTTTTGGTACCAGGGATCAAACTTGGGTCCTTCCACTTGTGCAGCAGGCAGCAAAACCACTGAGCTATCCCTGGCCCTACCTCCATTTAAAAAAATATTTATTAATTTATTTTTGAGACAGGGTCTCGATATGTAGACCAGGCTGGCCTTGAACTCACTATGTAGCCCAGGCTGGCTTTGAACTTCTGGTGATCCTCCTGCCTCAGCCTCTCAAATGCTGGGATTACAGGTGTGTACTACCATGCCAGGCTCTCCTTCCATTTTATTTTTGTTTGTTTGTTTTTGGTCCTGGGGATGGAACTGGGGACCTTGTGCTTGTGAGGCAGGCGGTGGTACCACCACTGAGCTAAATCCCTGGCCCTCCTTCCATTTTAGAAGTGATAGCCTGTCACTTGTATAGGACCAGTCCTTGGTGTACTTTCGGTCATATCCTTATGTGCTTACTCAGGGATGTCCCAACTGTGAACTTAAAGCCCTCTGTCATCCTTTTTTAGTTTGTTTGTTTTTGGTACTGGGGGTTGAACTCAGGACCTTGCGCTTGTGAGGCAGGCAGTTGAACCACTGAGCTCTAAATCCCCAGCCCTGTTTTTTGTTTTTAAGGTAGTGGGAATTGATCCCAGGGCCTTTGCACTGAACTACACCCCCAGCCCTTTTTTTTGGTACTGGGGATCGAACTCGGGACCTTGCACTTGCGAGGCAGGCGCCAAAACCACTGAGCTAAATCTCCAGCCCTCCAGCCCTTTTTTTTTTATTTGACAGGATCTTATTAAGTCTCTTTAGTTGCCCAGGCTGGCAAACTTGTAATCCTCTTGCCTGAGCCGCTCAGAGTGCTGGGATTAAAGCCTTCCTTCCTTCTCTGATTCTCAGCTGGCTCCAAGGCTTCCTGACTGGCTATCTTTATTGTTCCTTTGTTTGGTGTGTGTACTTATTATAATAAAACTCCTTACATCCATCAGTGATGCCTTCATTTCATTGACACTATGCAGTCTCTAGCCTTCTTAACATTTGTGTAGGCCAAGTGTGGTGATGGACCCTGTAATCCCAGCGCTGGGGAGGCTGAGGCAGGAGGATTACCCCAAGTTCAAAGTCAGCCTGGACTGCATAGCGAGACCCTGTCTAAAACAAAACAAAACACAGCACAACACAGTACAATATTTGACCCTGTAAATAAAATTCTCTTTTTAATCTTACAGTCACACAAGTTTTTCAAACTCAACATATACAAAATAGAATTCATCATTGTTCCAGAACAATGTAATTCTTCTATTTTCCTGACAGCTCATCAACCACCACAGCTAAGACCCTGAATTGTATCCTTGATAGGAACCCCAATATTTAGTTCTTACCAGATTCTACCAGTTGACCTTCCTGAACTATTTCTTGGCTCTCTTGCCTCCTGTGCTTTCACTGCCTGGATTATTCTAACAGCCTCATGCTAGTTTTTCCTCTTGAGCTTTTTTCATTCAGTTTTTGACAGTGCTGGGACTGTAACCCAGGGCCCTGACTGCTGCTAAGCAGGTGTTCTGCTATTGAGCTACACCCTTTTACCTACACCTTTACCACCGGAATAACTACCAGTGGGTGGAGCTTCACAATGAAAATTGCACCTTCTAAAATTGCACCTTGGCTCATTGTTGCTGGATAAATTCCAGACTGATAAGCACAGCATAACCTTGCTCCCATCTGCACTGTCAGTGTGAAGTATTCCCAGCAAGGTGATGTGCTTCTTTGCACTTCTCATGTGCTTACTCTGTCAGTCTCTTCGATCTCTCCTCTGTCCTTCCCCCTGTCAGCTTATTGCTCACTTTCATCCTTTAAGATCAGCTCTCGCCTGGATGACTTTGTGAAGCAGTGTGTTGTGACTGCTTGTCCTTGGGTTTCCCTCTCAGGTCCTTTCACTTCATCCTGTGCTGTAACACTTAACCATAGCGTCACTGTGTGATACATCTCTCCACCATGGAAGCAGAGATCCGTGCTTTTATCCCCGGGATCTAATGTGGGTATTAAGATTCAGCCAGAAGCATTCATAGAAGTGAAGTGAAGGGACTTGAGAGTGATCGGGATCTTTTGACACAGGAATGGAATAACCGTTTAACACATTCATGAGGTGGCCATAATTTGTATGTCTTCCTGCTGGCTGGCTTGAACCACCAGCGGTACATGCACAACTGTCCCATCTGGTGCTTTTTATTAATTTTATTATTAAAAAGACCAATACAAGTGATTAAATCTGTTTATACCATCAGTGGTACAAGCTGCCAATGGGACAGTCATGCAGGCACCACTGGTGTCACGAGCTGGCGGGAACATGTTAACTGGCACAGTTAGGGAGCGCATCTGCAGTTTTTCCAGGCCTTTTAATTTATTTATCACTAGTATTATCAATTAGCTATTCAGGTAGGAGACTCACACTAAACCTGCTCCTTTTTTCCATAGGTATTTACACAAGGAATTTGCAGATTCCTGGTCAGTCCCCAGGTTGGCTGAAGGCTTTGATGTCAGCACCGATGTTATTCAGAGGGTTTTAAAAAGTAAATTTGTACCCACTGTGAAGCAGAAACTGAAGCAGGATCAAAAAGTACTGAAAAAGCCTGGGCTTGCTCACTTGGTGCAGCAGCTGCAGGGCTCTGAAGATAGCACAAAGCCCCTTGCTGCAGGCCATGCTGTATCGGAGCCTTTCCTGGAAGCCTCATCCAGAGGTCAGAGCCACAGCACCGCTCTGACAGTACAAGAGCCCAGCACTCAGAGTAGAGATCCCCTACGGAGACAGAAGGGAAGCAACAAAGGAACCCAAGGCCTGGGGAAGAGGAGCTTTGTGCCTGTCACTATAGCCTCGGATCATCAGAGAAAGCCAAAGTCCTCCACCAGTGATTGTGCAGGCACCAGAAGCACTGACAGTAATTTCTTGCCAAGTGACAAGAAGCTGGAAGAGTGGAAGGTGGATGAGCTAGGTGATCAGAACTTTAACAGCAAAGTAGTACAGAGGGGGCGGGAGTTCTTTGACAGCAACGGGAACTTCCTGTACAGAATTTGAACCAGAGCATGGCTTATGAAAATGCCATATGAAACATGGCTGGGCAAATAGGGAGCTGCCAGGATTGCTGCCTTTTTCTCTCTTTTTTTAAGACAAGGTCTCACTGTGTAACCCAGGCTGGCCTTGAACTCAGGGCAATGCTCCTGCTTCACCCTCCTGAGTGCTGGGTTTACAGACATCCAGCTAGGATTTCTGCATGTTTTAGTCACTTTGACATAGAAGGGGGCCAGGGATTTAGCTCAGTGGTTCCGGCACCTGCCTCGAATGCGCAAGGTCCTGAGTTTGATCTCCAGTACCAAAAAAAAAAGACATAGAAGGATGTGATGAGCCAAGGATGTGATGAGCCTAGGATGTGAGCTACTTGGCTAGAGTGAAGCTTGTGGAAGCACTGCCTCCACCCTGACCCCTGTGGCCCTTCAGTATTCCTCACTCTTCTGCTTGGGCTCTCTGTGCCGAACACCAGTGTTGTATATGCTGATTTGATGTCTGTGATACTTGTAATATGTTTGGGAAGAAATGAAGAGTTTGCCTTCTGACCTCATTTTCTTCTTGATCAGTGAACACTAAGAGTTCTGGAACTGCATAATCAATTGGTTGTTTTCCTTGTGTGCAAAAATAAAACGTAGCCGTCTGTGTTGCTTGATACTCTCTGGGGTGGGAGGACTTACTTGTGAACCTTGGAGGGTGACGGAATGGAACAGCCAGAAGGGAAAGCATCCCTGTCATTAAACACTGGGAGAGAGATGGAACTAGAGGCATCTCCAACAAAGGGTTCTGCGGGGAGCAACCTGCTCAATGATGAGTTTTTGTTTGTTTGTTTGTTTTGTGGTGATGGGGATTGAACTCAGGACCTTGTGCTTGTGAGGCAGGCACAGTGCCACTGAGCCAAATCCCTGGCCCTCAGTGATGAGTTTTGACAACCAAAAACTGGACATCTTTGTCTTAGTTGCTAGGGTTCTGAAAGAGATTGAGTAGAAGTTTGGGGGAAAAAAAATAGGCAAAAAGCTTTAGCATTCCCATCCCAGTCATATTCTAAAGTTTTATTAAATTATGTTTGGTTGTACAGGTGACATCAGATTTCTACGGAGGTTACGTGAAGTAGGCGAGAACAAACGAGCCCTTCTCCAAATAAGGAAGCAAGACCCTAGGGTGGCCATAAGTAGCAGTATTGGAACTTGAACCTAGGTCTCCATTAATCCAGGGTCTCTGGTGCCACTGTTTGGCATAAGTTCCATTAATTTACTGATTCTTTTTGATACTCCAAATTTATATGAACAGTGTTAAACCACTGTTATTTCAACTCTGTCATTGCTACTTGTTGGCATCTTGCTATTTGTGAATGTCAATTTTAGCAAACGCATTATCATTGATTATTGTTAATGAGCATGTTTGTTGTAAACAGCTCTATCACATGACGTACTAGGAGTACAGTAGACAGATAACAGCCCTTGTTCTCTGTCCTGTCACTATCAAGTAGTTTATGGTTAAGGCTTCCTGATTCCCCCTCCCCTCTGGTGATAATGTGAATTAAAGGCCTTCACAGTAAGCTATACCCCCAGCCCATTTTATTTTCAGACCGTTTAAGTCAATAAGTTGCCCAGACTGACCTTGAACTTGGCAGTCCTGCCTCAGCCTCCCAGGGTACTGGGGTTACAAATGTGTGCCACCATGCCTGGTTTTTGTGATGTTACATGTATGGTTGCCATGATAGTTGTTTGTAATTGTTTAAAGAGGTTCTAGGTGCTATTTGACTGTTATTTTTGCATTTCTAACTCTTGTAAATCATCTCTCTGACCAGGCTCTTACCCCAGCAGTTTATGGAAATCTACAAGCTATTCCTAAAAACTAGGATGCGTTTTTCATATACCTTATCCCCTACTACCCCATTGTTTACTTATCATAAACCTTTTTTCCACTCTTGGAACCTGCTTGTGTAAGAGTTTTGGACTTATTCTTTGGCCCTAGGTTTTCATGTGGCTGGCTTCTTGTCATTTAGGTCTAAAATCAGATGTCACTTTTTTAGGCTTTCCCTATTCAACCAATCTAAAGCACCTCCCTTCACATTCTTATTGTCACCAGAGTCTGATTTTCCCCAGTATCTGAAATTTCATTACTGCTATACTGACAGCACTCTTTCTGTATTTTGAACATAGACCCTGTGAAGGGCAGAGACCGGTGTGTTGATTGCTGTAGTCCCACTTCCTACCATCTCAACATTGGCTAAGTGAATGAAGAAATGACGGGGACTTTGTAACAACCAGCCATTCTATGGCAGTGGAAAGCCCTGCTTTTACAACTGCTAGCAACATCCCACCCTCAGACAAGGCACTTGAGCTTCCAAGCCGACTTGCTCCTCCTCTGGCCTGTCAGTGTGTCTCAGATCCTAACTCCCTGGTGGTAGAAAATTCCAGCTTCCTTGTTGCAGGAAACTGCCTCTGAGCCCGGCAGGAGGCTGGCATGAGTGATGGAGCCCCATTCCTGCTTTGTGTTCACTGGGTTGGGGTCCCAGGACTCCAAGGGCCCCTTTCTAGGCTCTCCTGTCTCACAGCACGAGGAACAGGAGCACCACACTGGATGAGGTGGAACTGTACTTTTGTGGAGGAAGCAACAGGAAACAGGTTTCCATCTGAGCAGGAGCAAAAGGCTGCAGGTGGATTAGGTACCACAGAGCAATCTTTGGAGCAGGACCAAGAAGCTGGCAAACCACAGAGAGCATGCACTTCACTTACCGGCTTTAAGGAGCAGTAGGAATGAAGTCTACCATCTCAGGGCAGCCCCCACCTCAATGCAGCTGAGCTTTGATCTTGGGAATAAGGGCCGGGTATTTAGCTCAGTGGTTCTGCTGCCTGCCTGATCTTGGGAATGGTGGGAGTGTAGGGGCACACAAAATGCTCAGCATAAAACACTAGATGAGATCCTGAAGTGGAATGTGAATATACAGATTGTTGTTTCACTTAGTCTTGTATTATAGAACTTTTCAAACATACAAAAGTAGAATATAGGGGCCAGGGATGTAGCTCAGTGGTGCCACACCTGCCTCTTAAGTGCAAGGTCCTGAGTTTGATCCCTGGCACTGGAAAAAAAATCTTCACAGAAAAGTAGAATATTGCAAGGAACCCCTCCATACTCATTACCCAATATTCTCCTTTCGTTTTGGGGATTGAACCCAGGTCCTTATTCTACCATTGAGCTACACCTCCAACTCTGTTTTTTGTTTGCTTTTGGTGCCAGGGATCAAACTCGGGACCTTGTACTTTGTTTTTGGTTTTTTGAGACAGGGTCTCGCTATGTAGTTCAGGCCTTGAACTCACTATGTATCCCAGGCTAGCCTCCAGCTCACAGTAATCCTCCTGCCTCAGCCTCCCCAGTTCTGGGATTATAGGTTTGCACCACTGAGCTGGGCCCCAACTCTTTAATATCACCTAATATTCTAATAGTGGTTTCTTGTTTCATAAGTAACTTTTACAGTTGATTTATTAGGGTATCCAAACAAAGTCCACAGTTTGTAACATTACATTTTGTTAGGTCCTTTAAATTTCCTTTACTGTATTTTGGAGTTTTTGTTTTGTTTTATTTTGTTTTTTTGTTTTAAAACAGGGTCTCCCTATGTAATTCAGACTGGCCTTGAACTCACTATATAGCCTAGGCTGGCCTTGAATTTATGGCCATCCTCTTGCCTCACCCTCTCAAGTGCTGGGATCACAGGTGTGCGCCACCACACCCAGCTAAATTTCCTTTATTCCAAAGTATTTTTTCCTCCTCCCATTTACTTTAGAGTCAGATCATTTGTCCTATATAATTTCCTGCATTTTGGATATGTTAGTTTTATCTTTATGACATCTTAACACTTTCTTACTCATTTATATATTCTCTAAACTGGTAGTTAGATCTTGAAGCTTCATCAGGTTCAATTTTTTGGCAACGGGTGATGCTCTGTACTTCCTGTATCCACCAGGAAATATGATGGTATTCTTGATCAGAATATTGAGTGCTGTCAGTCTGATCCATCCTTTATGTCCCTCTTCAAGTTGTTGTTGGTTTCTTTGGTACCAGGGATCGAAATCTGGTCCTTGCGCTTGCAGGGCAGGCGGCAGAACCACCGAGCTAAATCCCTGGCCCTTAAGTTTTTTTTTTAAAAGCAAGGTACAGATTATTACCATCACCTTTCATAGTTCCCTTATAAACCCAGTCAATTCCCATCCCCAAGGCAATCACTTTTCTGCAATTTTGTTTGTTTTGTTTTGTGACAGGGTCTCGCTATGTAGTTCAGGCTGGCCTTGAACTTACGGAAATTAAGCCTGTCACCAACCCTTACTTGAGTGATCGATAATTGGCTGTATCGTTAAAAATTAGTTTATATATAACTACTTGGGAAAGCATTCGGTTGGGAAATCAGACTAGAAAGTTAATTCGTAAAAAGAAAAAAAAAAGTTGATTCGTCCCCTCTGGTTTTCAAATGTCCCTTTCCGGATGCCGTCCCGTTCCCAGTGTGCTAAGCGCGAGGGAGAGCCCTGCACTTCCGGGAGGTCTAGGAAGTGGTTTTTGTGGCCGGAGGCTGGGTTCTCAGGGCGCTCCTGGAGTCTGCGGATGTAAACTGGAATCCTACTGACTGGCAGAGTGGATCAGGGAGGGACGGGTGTCCGCCCAAACGGTGGCTGCAGCTCTGAGATGAGTATCCCCGGAGGCTGATGCTGTCTGGCTGGAAGGTGGCCATTCATTCCTCGATTGCGCCTAAGGGGCGAGAGTCTCTCCGGGGCTCTGGGCCTCCGTGGTCAGGCGTGCGGTACAGATAGCCACACTGGGCTCATCCTGGGCTGCCGCCCGCCTTCTTAGAGCGAAAGACTTCCCCCTCCTTCCACACCGGGGCCCAGGTGACCGCGGCCATGGCTTTTCCCCATCGGCCGGACGCCCCTGAGCTGCCTGACTTCTCCATGCTCAAGAGGCTGGCTCGAGACCAGCTCATCTATCTGCTGGAGCAGGTCAGTGCCCACCAGCCTGGTACCTTTGCAGCAGTTTAGCATTCCCTGGATGTGAACATCCTTTCCGAGTCCTTGTGATCTTGTTCTTGGCCTTTGGTATCCTTGAAGCTTCCGCAGCAGGTCAAAAACACAGCACTCAGCAAGAAAAATAAGAGGGTAGTAAGAACTTATTGGGACCTGGCCAGAGGATGAATGGAAATGAATTTTTCGTACCAACAAGAGAGATCTCACTTGTGCCAGGCATCACTGGGAAGGGAAGGACGGTTAAGACAAACTTTGTTGTCATTAGGGATCTTACACTCCAGTAGGAGCCCTACGAAACACCAGTCACCCCACAAGCAGTGTCTGGTGATAAATGAGAGCTAGGCTGCCTGAAGAGGTCAGGATAAGCAGTCATATCCGACTGGGGAGATCTAGTTATTTTCGGGAGCTGGAGGGTGGACAATAAGCAGATTTTCTTTGGAGACTGGAGAGCATGCTGCAGGCAGATGGACCGGTGGGAGCAAAGTTGAGGTACTAGGAAAGCTTGAGGCTTGAAGAGAGACTAGAGCTATCAGCAGTTATGTGGCAGGCATTAGGCAGTCACTGAAGGTTGTTTTTTATTATCTTTATTTGTGGCATGAAGCAGTTTGATGATGATTCTAATAGCGGTGTGTGGGATGGGGTAACTGCCAGTTAGGAGAGTGAAGTATTAAAAGCTCATGCAAAATTGGTAGCAGTGGGAATGAGGAAGTGATGAATTTTTAAGTCATAGTGAAAGAATACTCAAAAAAATATTTTTGTGTGTATGGCTTTTTTTTTCTTTTTTGACACTGTCTTGCTATATTATTCACGTTGGCCTTGAACTCAGTAGGTAGCTCAGGCAGGCCTCAAACTCAGAGCAATCCTCCTGCCTCAGCCTCCAAGTGCTAGAATTACAGTCATATGGCACAACCCTGGATCAAAGATTTATTGATTCATTGTAAATGATGAGGAAGAAGCAAAATTGACCCTTGAGATTTTTAACCTGGGTTGCTATTATAATTGTAATGGGTTACTTGCTTAATTGTTTAGTTATAGTGATACCTCGGTTGTCAAACTCAATTTGGTCCAGATTTGCATTCGAACACCAAAAAGTTTGAGAACTGAACGTATTTTTCCCCGTAAATAATGGAAGGCCCAGGGATTTAGCTCAGTGGTGCCGCCGCCTGCCTCTCAAGTGCAAGGTCCTGAGTTCGATCCCCGGTAGTACAAAAAAAAATAATAATGGAAAACCAAATAATTGGTTCTGAGACCCAAAAATTACACTTACAATCATTTTTCAGGGACTTTAGCAAATTTCACAATGATTTCTTTTTTTTTTTTTTTGGTACCGGGGATCGAACTCAGGTCCTTGCGCTTGTGAGGCAGGCATCGAAACCACTGAGCTAAATCCCCGGCCCCACAATGATTTCTTTAACTCTATCATGGTTCTCACAGTTTTCCTCTTACCTTTACTGTTGAAATCACTAACTTTCTTTGGAGCCATGGTTATAGTATTTTATGCAAATAAAGCACACACACACACACACACACACACACACACAGCACAATGACGAATATTTTAACACACTAAGGGCTGGGGATTTAGCTCAGTGGTTTCGCCGCCTGCTGTACAAGCACAAGGACCCGAGTTCATTCCCCGGTACCAAAAAACAACAACAACAACAACAGAAACCCACACTAACACAAGCACTACATGACTGTGATATGAACCTTTTAGAGCTTTCAATGGTTACAGCCAGCTGTGACAGGCTCGCCACCACTGCTGTATGTTGTGTGGGTAAGAGCAGTACTTAGACTGAAGCGTCACCCCTTTGTGTCTGTGGTGAGTTGTGATGCATGACTCACTCTGGGCTGTACAGGTTTTTTCAAGTCAGATTTTCTGTTCGATTATGGAGCAAAGTTATAAACATTGAGCAGATTTTTTTAAAATTTGCTGTTTGAGTAGTGGGAAGTTCAAGCTTGGAGCCATTTGACAACCAAGGTATCACTGTATTTCTTTTTTTTTTGGTACTGGGGATCGAACTCGGGACCTTGCGCTTGCGAGGCAGGCACTGGAACCATCACTGTATTTCTTTAATATCCATGCTCCATATAAGATTGGGAGGTCTTCAGGGTCAAGGATCATGTCTGGGTTTTTTGTTTGTTTGTTTATTTTGGTTTGGTTTGGGGTTTTTTTTTTTTTGGTACCAGGGATGGAACTTGGGTCCTTGTGCTTGGGGGCCAGGCTGCGGAACCACTGAGCTAAATCTCCAGGCCTGGTTTGATTTTTTGAGAGAGGGTCTCATTATGAAATTCAGGCTGGCCTTGAAGTCACTATGTAGCACAGGCTGGGCTTAAGCTTGCAATGATCCTCTTGCCTCAGCCTCCCTAGTGCTGGGATTGCAGGCATGTGCCACCATGCCCAGCTTGTTTTGTTTTTTGAGGCAGGATATGTAGCCCAGATTGGACTCTGGTGATCCTCCTGCTGAAGCCTTCTGAGTACTGAGATTACAGGTGTGTGCCACCATTCCCACACACTGTAAATGTAAACCCAATGATTCCCTAGCTTATAGTCAAGCACATAATGTGTGCTTAATGAATATTGGTTGTTTGCACATCGAATGGAAATGAAGAAAAGAAAGTGGAACAGGTTTGGTGTGGAAGTTGATTCATTTAGGTTTAAATATGAAGTGCAAAAGTGCAGCTCATAACATCCAGCAGATGGAAATGTGGAGCTGCAGCTCCATCTTGTGGGCTGGGATGAAGATGGAGACAAAGGAGAAGCTCAGGGCATCTGGAACCAATTTTATTTGGCTTTTAATGCTCCATAGTGCCAGCACAGTGATCTGCACATAAGACTCAACAAATGTCTGAGGAATTGAAAAGTAGTGCTAAAGCCATTAGTTCAGGTGAGATTAACACGAGAGGAAATGAGACCGAGGATAGAAACTTGGAAGTGGAGAGTGAGGAGGAAGCCATAGGATTACTCACTGTGGCCAGAGTGGACCTGTGGGACAGTACCCTCCCCAAACTAACTTCTGAATTAATGAGCACTTTTGTTCAGGCCGGACTCATCATCATCTTTGACTGGCCTTTCCCTCCCCTTAAGAGAACTGGCTGCTGAGTCCTGTGGCTGCTTCCTTATACATGACTTTAAAAATGATTACAAGCGGGGGTGGTGGTGGTATACGCCTGTGATCCCAATACTTAGGAGGCTGAGGCGGAGGATCACTGTGAGTTCAAGGCCAACCTGGGCTACATAGTGAGACCCTGTCTCAAAAAACCAAAATAAGGGCCAGGGATTTAGCTCAGTGGTTTCGCTGCCTGCTGCGGAAGTGCAAGGACCTGAGTTCGATCCCCGGTACCCCCCCCCAAAAATAGTAATGATTATAAAATAATACTTGCACATTATAGAAAATATAGAAGATAAAAGAAAATTTTTTTTGGTACTGGGGATCGAACCCCCGGGTCCTTGCGCTTGTGGGGCAGGTGGTGGAACCACTGAGCTAAATCCCCGGCCCCTGAAGATAAAAGAATATAAAACATTTAAATCCTGCTGTCAGCTGTTAGCAATGTTAATTCTGTTAATGTCTTCCAGTTTTTTTTTTTTGGTACCAAGGATTGAACTCGGGACTTTGTGCTTGCCAGGCAGACGGTGGCACCATTGAGCTAAAATCCTGGCCCAAATATTTAAAGACATTATATTACACATTCCAGGTATCTCTTAACCTATTTTCATACCACCACTGGTTAAAACTGGTCCTCATTCATTGCCACATGTTGGGCTCGTGGTCTGTTGCATTAACTTCCTCAGTGGACTCCCTGTTTTATTATTTCTCATATTTTCAGTCCAGTTTCTCTGTAGGTGCGAGATTCATATAAGTAAAATTTCTAGTGGATATGGATGTTTCAGAACACAGAAGCTTTCTGTTTTTCCTGTTCTGCAAGGGATCAAGTCCAAGCCCCCTAGCTTGGCATCTGGAGCCCTTCATGTTCAATTCTAATCAATTATTACAGTTTTCTTTCCCTCCATTCTCTCAAGTCAGTATTCCTCCTCAAACTTGGTTCTTTAGACATTTTGGGCTGGATTATTCTGTGTTTAGAAGCCTGTCTTGTGCATTGTAGGATCCTGAACAGCAACCCAGGAACATACACACTTGGAGTCAGACTTCCAAAATTGTGTCTGGACCTTGTCAAATGTCTGTTGGGGGCAGAACTGTCCCCAAGTTAGAACTACTGCCCTCCACGTACCTTATGCATCAGTGCATCTGAACGGCTTGTTCTGCACTCACTACTCAGCCTGTGCCCTTCTCCAGCCCCAGTGTGATTGTCTTCTGAAGACATCGCTGGCAACTGCCTAATCACTTGTCCAGTGATTCTTGGTGGAGAAGAACCCTTTGTGACTCACTGTCAGTGACCCCTGTCACTCACTGTGACTTCTGCCTCTGAAGAGATGAGAGCGCAGCATCAAGTTACGGTGCAGGAATCAGAAGATGGGATGGTAGGGTGGGTGAGCGATGGGATGATTGGGCGAGCACTGTCCTGGGCTAAGGTCTGCATTGAACTGTGTTATTTTTCTAATTAGGAGAGAAATGCTACTTCAGAAGATGTTTCACAATTGTGGGGGCGTGGTTTGGGATGCAAGGTGGGGTTTTGTTGCATTTGACTGTGTTCAGCAGGAGACCAAGGGTTGGTGGGAGACAGTGGAGGAGGCTGAGGGAAAGAGGACCAGCCGTGCAAACTGAGGTCACAGGTGGGCAGGAGGGCTGAGTGGCAAGGAATTAACCTGAGGAAGAAGGTGGAATATCTTTCCAAAATAGGTGACTGTGCAGAGAAACATCACTGTGGGCACAAAAAAAGATGCTGGGTTAGATGACGTCTAGCTTGCTTCCAGCTCAGTGGCCCTGTTTCTGTCAGATGTGAGGCTGGATGAATTGTCAAGTGGGGGAGCTTGGGGGACCCATGAGTGACCCAACATACTGTGTCTCCTTCAGCTTCCTGGAAAAAAGGATTTGTTCATTGAGCCAGATCTCATGAGCCCTTTGGATCGGATTGCCAATGTCTCCATCCTGAAGGTACTGGCCCTGTTTCCTCTTTGAGCAGTTTTTCTTTTAATGACCAATACAAATTACTAAAAAGTGACCACCCTTACACGGGAAGATAGGGTAGCTGAATTGGGCAAAGGGGATTGATGATTTTACTTGTGTTGTTTGTGTATTGTTTTCGATTTGGTTTCCCTGTTGACAGTCTGAGGAAGGCTTAGTGGGCTAGTTAGCAAGGGAGCAGTTTGAGTCCAGAATTAGCATAAATAGGTGGCCCTTAAGAAGTCCTTTGTCTTTGTATGATGCTTTGTGCTTTTCCAGTGAGCACTCTTACGTCCTTTGTCTTGCATTCTCCCTGCAGCAACATGAAGTGGACAAGCTGTACAAGGTGGAGAACAAGCTAGTGCTCAGCTCCAATGAACAGTGAGTGTCTGGGAGCCTGCCTGACCGCCAAGCTGGAGGAGGTCCCTGGGGACACCAGCCCTTGACCTCTGCTCACTCCTTGGCCAGCATCCGACCCTGTGACGTCTGTGATGTGGTTCACCTCCTTGAACTCATACAGTTTCAGATTTCTCCCTCCCTTGTCCTTTTCCTTGTCTAATCCTTTGCCATTTATGGTCACTGGGGATTGAACCAGGGCTTCACACTGAGCTACACTGCCCACACTTTTTTGTATTTTTTATTTTGAGACAGAGTCTCACTAAGTTGCCTGGACTAGGCTGGATTTCAATCTTCCTGCCTCAGCTTCCCAGAGTGCTAGGATGACAGGCATGTACCATCATGCCCAGCTGTCCAAAAATTATTTTCATCATGCTCTTATCAAGAACCTATAAGGGGCCTGGGGATTTAGCTCAGTGGTGCCGCTGCCTGCCTCGCAAGCGCAAGGTCCTGAGTTCGATCACCAGTACCAAAAAAAACCAAGAACCTACAAGGCTTTCCATTATTGACTGTATAGAGTTCAGTTTGTGAATCATAGAGACCAAGGCTGTCACCAGTGTGGCCTCACATAGTACTGTTCAGTTTGTTCCTCGTGTGTCCCCTTCAAGCCTCTGTTGGCCGTGCTTCTGAGCACTTCCCTGGCCTTGGCCTGTCCCTTCACCCTGTCCACCACTCCGTCTGCTCTATCTGCATCTCCTGTCCTTACTGCTCCTGCAGAGAATGCTAGACCTTCAGGGCCCAGCCCCTCCTCCATGAAGCATTCTGGTTTCCTCCAGTGCAGGGTGATTCTCTTCTCCTCTGGATCCTGTGACCTTTGTACTTGTTCTCTTCACTGGACTACCTGTTGTCAGGAACTACCTGTTGTTTTTCTGTAATATTTCTTCAGACTTAGTAATGTATACCTTAGAAGAAAAAATTCTCCAGATCATGGAGAATGCATCTGTCAACCTCAGTTTAAAAAACATCATTTCCTATACTTCCTTATTTTATTTTATTTATTTATTTATTTATTTATTTATTTATTTATTTATTTATTTATTTGGTACCAGGGATCAAACTCAGAACCTTGCACTTTTGAGGCAGGCAGCGGTACCACTGAGCTAAATCCCCAGCCCCTTCCTTATTTTTTAGCACTTGATTTTTTTTAACTATTTTTATTTTGTTTTGTTTTTGGGTACCAGGGATTGTGAACTCAGCCCCTTGCACTTTTTTTTTTGTTTTTTGAGGCAAGGTCTGACTATGCAGTTCAGGCTGGCCTTGAACTCACTGTGTAGCCAAGGCTGGCCTTGAACTCGCAGTGATACTCCTGACTCAACCTCCCAAGTGTGCCACTATGCCTGGCCACTTGATTATTAATATACTCCATATATATGTCTTTTTTACCCACCGGACTGTAAAGTGTTTTAGAACAAGAGCTCTGCACCCATCACAGGGCAAAAAAGGCACTGTGGTGCTCGCTTTGGCAGCACATATGCAAAAAAGGCACTGTGCTCCTCATAGTGCACCTGTGGTGTGAAGAGGTGTTTTCTGGGGCTGGGATGTGGGAAGCCAAGGGAACTGGCATGGCTTCGGCTAGGATGAGCCATAACCAGAGGGGCGTCTTTGTCAAGAAGGGCAAATGGTTAAAGAGCTAGTATTGCTTCAGTTTCTTCAAAGCTGCTGTTGCCAACTTCATGACTTTTCTTCATTATTTTATTTTTCCTTTCTCTCCCATAGGTTGTGCTTCCTGGTCAGACCCCGCATCAAGAATATGTACTACATTGCCAGTGAGTGGGCTGTGGTACTTATGTAATTAAGACCTGGGAAGGGGTGGGCGAGATCGCAGTTTTTTGGCCATGGGACAACTGTGGCTGAGGGTGTAGCTTAGTGGTGGAATGTTTGATTAGCATACACAAGGACCTGGGTTCCATTTCCCAGAATCCCCCTAAAAAATAAAAATAAAAGGGAAAGAATCATGTGAATTGGCCACAGCCCTTGCAGAAGATAGCTGTTCTTGTTTTCTAGTCTCTGGCTTTCCAGACTTCATTCCTTCTCTCTGTAGATCTCGTCAAAGCTGACAAATTGGCTGGCCGAACTCGAAAATACAAAGTGATCTTCAGCCCTCAGAAGGTGAGTCAGTCCTGGCAGAGTAGGAAATGAGGCTGGACAAGGTGAGGGGCTGGGCAGGGGTGAGGGCGCGACAGCAGTGTCTTCTTCAGAGTAAATCTGAGTGACTGAACCTAAGATCTGTCACTGTGTCTTGCTTAACGTGTCCCTGACTGGTAAGTAGAGGGTTTGTTACCAGTCTGCCCCAAAGCCCCAAATAAAGTACTGTGGAACTGTCAGAGGGAGCCTTTGCATTGAGTGAATGAACTTGCTCTTCTCTCTCTCTAGCACTGATCCATATCCCCAACCCTTTTTATTTTGAACAAGGTCTCTCACTGAATTCCCTAGTTTGGGCTCCAATTTGCCATCTTCCTTCCTTGCCCTCCCAGGTAGCTGAGGTCAGAGGAATGTGCCACTGTGCCTGGCTGTATCACTGATATTTTTTGTTGCTGGAGGTGGGGAGTTTGAGCCAGGGTCTCACTTTATACCCCAGACTGGCCTTGAACTCATGGTGCTCCTGGGTAAGCCACCTGAGTGCTGGGATTACAGATGTGTGCTACTATGCCTGGATTGTATCACTGTTTCTTAATTCTGTGGAGTTCCCCTCTTCCCCCTACATCAGCAAGGTATGTGGCAGGCACCTCCTCAGCCTCAGTTCTTGGCAGGAATGATGTTCCAGTAACTGTAAGTAGGATGAGACATCTCTGTGTTTCTGAGACTTTGCTGATTACGAGGACTGGCAGTTTTCAGATTGACTTTAGAGTTTCATTAGTTAGCACTCAAAGTTATACGTGCAATTCCCACCATCACCACCAAAAAACACACAGATAACAACAACAAAGCAAAATCTAAAGCAAAAAAACCCCAAAAGTTTAAGTCAGGCCTTTCAATTTCAGCTTTCTCCTTTCCTGGCAGAAATCTGTGAGAGATGAGTAGGATTCTTCTGGGTAGCGTAAAATATGGAGCCCTGGGACTGAGTCTCACCTCACAGAGTGACGTGGGTAGAGATGGGGGTCCCTGTAAAACCTGAACAACCTGAGTCCATGTTAAGCACATCATTCACGTTAGCCATTATTAATGTCATTGTCACGGTCCCATGAGCCCCTCAGTATTCTTCATTTTCTTTAAACTTTTAGCCTTTATCCACTTAGTGCAGAGAAGAAGGAGACCCTGGCTACTTCCTTTTCAGCCAAGTGTTGGCCTGGGCCCTGCCTGCCTTCTTTCCCATGCATCTAGCAAGCCCCCCCATCTCCTGGCCTCACCCCCCTCAGCCCCTCTGAACAGTCTGCCCATCTTCTCCCCAGGCCCCCTGGTACTGCTAGACTCTTGGCACCCTTGCCCTTTCATCTTGTCCCCTGGCGTTTGCCCCTCCCATGTACCTTCTCTGGTGTCAGGCACTGTCTCATGTTCTTCCTTGAACTGCTGGCCTTCCTGGTGCCCTGGTGCTATTATTCCTGCTCCTTCTTTTTGGCTTTCCCTGGGGTTCTGTTTTTAGTACTCTTTTTTCCTCTGCTCTGTCTTGAACAAAATATCCTCTCTTAATTCAGCATATATGCCACTGACTCGCAGGGCTGTGTCTCCACCACCCATTGTGTCCAGGGTCTCGTGGGAACGTCCTCACTAGACTCTCTGTTCTTTACCACCCCCTGTACCTCTGCCATTTCGGCAGCTTTTTATACCATTCTTCCACCTCTGCCTGTACAACTCTTCTTCCTCCTTCCCTCCCTCCTTCCCTTCCTTCTTCCCAACAGAATCTTGCTGTACAGGCCAGACAGACCTCCAACTCATAATCCTCCTGTCTCAGACTCCCAAATGCTGAAATTACAGACATGCACCGCCATACCAGGTTTCAACTCACCCTGCAAAGACAGCCTTCCTTTGTAAAAGCTTTTCCCATCTCTAAGAGAGATTAAAAAAAAATTGGATTAATAAGCAAATAAAATGGATGAAAAAGCTGGGTGTGGTGCATACCTTTAAGCAGGAGGATACCATGAGTTCAAGGCCAGCCTAGATTATATAGGGAGACCCTGTCTCAAAAAACTAAAGAGGGGAAAAAAGGAAGAAAAAGGAATGAAGTATTGGGTTAGATGATTCCATCCATTCTAGATCTAAGAGTTTTGAGTTCTCTTGGCTTTTTTCACAATTCAGGAATTGTCCTCATGAGTGACTGTCTTAGTCTGTTTTCTGTTATTGTAATGAAATACCCAAGGCTGGGTAACTTACAGAGAAAAGAGGTTTATTTTGGCTTATGGTTCTGGAGGTCCAAGACTGTGGGGCTATGTGTGGTGATGGCTACCTTTCTAGCAGATTTCTGAGGCAGTGTAGGGCAGCACCTGGCAGGAGAGAAGGAGCACTCATGTGTGTTCTGGTCTCTTGTCTCTTCTTTTTTTTTTGGTACCGGGGATCAAACTCGGGACCTTACGCTTGCAAGACAGGCGCCAGAAACACTGAGCTAAATCCCCGGCCCTCTCTCTTCTTGAGTTTTATTTAACTTATGTATTTGTTTATTTTTGGTGATGAGGATTGAACCCAGGGCTCGCTCATACTAGGCAAGTGCTCTGTCACTGGGCCATACCCCCAGCCCTCTGGTTCTTCTTATAAAGCCACCAGGATTTGATTTGGGGGCTCCCCACTGAGGACCTTACTGGAGAAATGGAAGGGCGGAAAGGAGCCAGGTCACTAACCAACTTGCTCTTGTGTTTCAGTTTTATGCATGTGAGATGGTGCTTGAGGAAGAGGGGATCTATGGAGGTGAGAGGAGATGAATGTGAGTGGAAAGGGAGAGAGCCAGTGGGAGAAAGGACAGTCACTGTGTCCCCCGCCAGCTCCTCCTCCTGGTTCCTGTGGGAGGGAATGAGCAGAGGCCCACTGAGGACATTGGAGGTACTCCTGGGCTTGGAGCTGGGGACCATTAACTGCTCCATTCTCATTCCTGCTCCAACCAAGAGAAGTCGGGGCCCCTCGCCCTGTGCATTCCTCATTCCATTCTCCATGCAGCTTCTCCCTGCTGAAAATCCTGTAGTGGCTCAGTAGAAAGTATACACTCCTCAGTCCTGTCCCTTCAACTGCATCCCGTGATGCTCCTTTTTCCTGACTGCCTCCACCCCTGGGACTTTGCATATGCAGTGCCTACCGCTTAGAATGTTTTCCACCCAGCCAATTTTGTCTGCTCACATTTTACTCAGGTTCTAAGCTTAATTGTCACTTTTTTTTTAAAGTACTGGGAATCAAGCCCAGAGGTGTTTTAGCAGTGACCCCCCTCCCCAGCCCTTTTAATATATATATATTTATTTATTTATTTATTTTGAGACAGTGTCTTGCTAGGGTGCCTAGGTGAGATTTGAACTTTAGATCCTCATGCCTCAGCCTCCCTCAGTGCTGGGGATTATAGCTGTGTAACACTGCACCCAGCTATTTATGCTCAGGAGTTGCTGTTTTATTTGTTCTAGGGCTGGAACCCAGGGCATCATGCAGAGACTGTTTCTTAGTCTTCTTTGAGTCTCTGGCACTAAACACAGTACCTGGTGTGTGACAGGTGCTCCAGTGTTTGTTTCATGACTGGCAGACCTTCTGCAGAAAGCCTGATGTGCTGTGTCCCCACAGACGTGAGCTGTGATGAATGGGCCTTCTCTCTGCTGCCTCTTGATGTGGATCTGCTGAGCATGGAGCTGCCAGAATTTTTCAGGGACTATTTCCTGGTAAATACAGAGCCCCTGGTGTTGGCATCAAGGAACGGAGACAAACCTGAGGTCTAATGGGCTAGAAATACTGATTTAACTTTTGTCAGACACATACAATTTATTGCAAATGAGTTATTGGCGACTGAAGGCCACAGGTTGACCTGGATGAGTCTTCCTTGGGGCCAGTACAAACTCTTCCAATCATTCCCCAGACTGGGCCATCCTGCTCCAGGGCTCCTAGGGCTGGCCACTCTCCAGGGGACCTGGATGATTGATCCATGTCTTTGTGGCCCATGTGGCCCTGCAGGAAGGAGATCAGCGTTGGATCAACACTGTGACTCAGGCCTTGCACCTTCTCAGCACTCTCTATGGACCCTTTCCAAACAGCTATGGGATTGGCAGGTGTGCCAAGGTAAGAGCACTTGAAGGATTTCATCCTTGTACCCCTGGTTTTTCCTGTTGTGTATCCAACAAGGATTATTCACCAGCATCTGTGGCACGTATGAGGTGTATTCTTCACCTTGCTTTTATGTTCTGGTATAGTCTGGAGGGAATTTGTGTGGTTGACAGAGAAGCAAGAGCCAGGGCTGCTGGGTGGCATCCCTACATCTTTTTATCTTTGGGGCGGGGTGCCACTCATCGGCACAGTAAGTGGCAGAGAGAGATAGGAGCAGATGGGAGGAGAATGGGTTTATCTTGGTCATGGTTCACCCACTTCTTGGGGGAAAGATGAAGTGTCACATGGGAAGGGTTGGCTTGTGTAAGGATGGGGCTGCAATAGGGACCTGGACATAAAATTGAGAGTGCTTTGGGCCTTGACAGATGTCATATGAATTGTGGCGGAAACTGGAGGAGGAGGAGGAGAGTGAAACCAAAAGCCGAAGGCCAGAGATCGGACATATCTTTCTCCTCGATAGAGGTAAATTATACCCAGCGTTCCTCTGTCTTTGGGCCCTGCAAGACATGGAAGCATGGAAAATGTGGTGGCAAAGTCTGGATCTGCAAGTTAGGGCTATAAATCCCCACAGTGGTTCAGAATATGGGCACTTGGCTCTGTGGAAAGGACTTGAGCTGGTATCTAACAAAATGGGTAGTAGGGCTGGGGATTTAGCTCAGTGGTTCTGCCACCTGTCTCGCAAGCCCAAGGCCCCACGTTCGATCCCCAGTACCAAAAAAAAAAATGGGTAGGAGCTGGGTCGGGGAACCTTTATGGTTGGAATCTTGGTTTCAGACATGGACTTCGTGACAGCACTTTGCTCCCAAGTGGTTTACGAGGGCCTGGTAGACGATACCTTCCGCATCAAGTGTGGTAAGTGGTCTCATCATCCACGTCTTGGCAAAGCAGAAGTGACCATCAGTCTCTGGTGCCTCCCGTAGCAAGGCTGGGCTTGTGGGAGAGACCCTGATTCTGAGTGCACTGCTGGCACTGGGGTTCTTTCTTGGCAAGAGGAGGCCTCCGTGGACTTCCTGATAGTCCTCCCCTCTACCCTCAAAGGGAGTGTTGACTTTGGCCCGGAAGTCACATCTTCTGAGAAGAGCCTGAAGGTGCTGCTTAATGCTGATGACAAGGTAAAAGTGTGGGTACTAGCAGTGACTTACCCAGGGATGGGCCCTGCTCCAGGAGGAAGGCCCAGTGCTTGGGAGCCAGGGTTTCCTTCCTGCCATTCTGCTGGTGAGGTGGGAAGGGGCAAGTTATGGTTCTGACACAATGAGCGATGCCTGTCTCTCCCTTCACAGGTGTTCAGTGAGATTCGCAACGAGCACTTCTCCAATGTCTTTGGCTTCTTGAGCCAGAAGGCACGGAACCTGCAGTCCCAGTATGATGTGAGGCCGCACACCCTGCTCTTCTCTTTGGTTTCCTCAGTGGCTCCCCAGGCTACTGCCCCTGGGCTCCCCTCCTAATATGATGACAGGCCCCCTCTCTCCTCTCATGGGTGGGTAGCAACAGAGGAAGTGTGGTGGCTTCTTGTGTGAAGTCAGGGGTGTTAACCTTATGGGGACCTCCCCCACAGCGCCGGAGAGGCATGGACATCAAGCAGATGAAGAACTTTGTGTCTCAGGAGCTCAAGGGACTGAAACAGGAGCACCGCCTGCTGAGTCTCCGTAGGTGCCAGCTGGGGATGCGAGGGGAGGTGACTGTACCCCCGGCAGATGCTGCCAAGGGTCTTTACTTCCCAAGAAGAGATCCCTGGTTGTTGGTGGGTGGTGGTCTCCTTTGGTCCCAAATGGGAAAAAGTACTTCTACATTTTGCCTTAAAATATTCTTCTTGTGGACAATAAAGAGACATCCTTCTAGAACCAGCAATGTCAGCTCCCTTTTTGTCATATTGGCAGATATTGGGGCCTGTGAATCAATCATGAAGAAGAAAACGAAGCAGGACTTCCAGGAGCTGATCAAGACCGAGCATGGTACCTGCAGCAGCCTCCCCAAATTCTTCCTCTGTTCCCTCCCAGCTCACACTGGCTGTTTCCTCTCAGAAGTCCTGGGGTCCATCAGTCTACCCTAAGCATGGAGAAAGAGATGGGGAGAGAGCCACTGGTTAGCATAGAAGGCAGCAGCTGAGCTGACCCTAGTAACAGGCACTCCTCTGTTCCCACAGCACTGCTGGAAGGTTTCAACATCCGGGAGAGTACCAGCTACATAGAAGAGCACATAGACCGGCAGGTGGGCAGGCAGAGGCCTGGGAGGTGGGGAACGGTGCTTGAGGGGGGGGGTCACATAACTGTAAGGAAGAGAAGACCTCTCCTTGACTCTGTCTTCCTGCACAGGTGTCACCCATAGAAAGCCTTCGCCTCATGTGCCTCCTGTCCATCACTGAGAATGGTGAGCCCAAAAGATGGGAGATCAGGATGACAGGTCGAGAGCTGTGCCTCAGGGTCAGAAAATGGGATTTCAAAAGACAAGGCTTTTTTTTTTTTTTGGTACCAGGGATCGAACTCAGGACCTTGGGCTTTCAAGGCAGGCAGCAGCACCACTGAGCTAAATCCCCGGCCCCAACAAGCCGTGTGTGTGTGTGTGTGTGTGCGTGCGTGCGTGCGTGCGTGCGTGTGTGTGTGTGTGTGTTAGGGTGTTGCTGTGTAGCCCAGGCCAGCCTTGAACTTGAGGCAGTCTTCCTGCCCCAGTCTTCTGAGTGCTGGGATTACAGGCATACCCCACCATGGCTGACCTTAAAGACAAGTCTTGAGGCAAACAGAATGTTTCCCTGTAATTTCATGGTTTCTCCTAGAAAATAAAGCAGTGTTTAGCATGGTGGAGCATACTTGTAATTCCAGCATTCTTGGAGGCTAAGGCAGCAAGATCACAAGTTTGAGCCCAGCCTGGGCAATTTAGGTACTTAGGAAGATCCTGTCTTAAAATAAAAAATAAAAAAAGGACAGGGGATGTAGCTGGTTCAATCCTCAGTACTGGGGTGGGGGGGATGCAGTTTGTGCTTTGGGTGACTTCCCACGAGGTCATAGGGTAAATAATTAACTGGCCCATCCCTAAGCATCTGGGCAGGATCGCCTGCAGCCCCCAGCTCCCAGTGCCCATCATGGCTCAGAGCAGCAAAGGTGTGCCGCTGCATGGCATTTCTCTGTAGCTTCAGCTGCCTCCTGTCTATTAATAAAGTTTTATGGTAAAGATACATCATTCTAGGAGAAAGGGGGAGCCAACTAAATTTCATAAACATTTCCCAAAGCGCAAATTCTGCTGCCTTCCCCAGCAACTTGTTTATAGTGTTGAAATCTTCCAGTTTGGTCAATATTCTTTAAGGTTGCTTCCTACCTAAAGAAGTCCTTTAGGGGCCAGGGATGTAGCTCAGTGGTGCTGCGCCTGCCTGGCAAGCACAAGGTCCTGAGTTTGATCCCTGGTACTGAGAGAAAAAAAAAAAATCCTTTGCCTATTCTAAATTCCCTTTATTGTACTGTAGTTGGAGGTCCATTTCTTACTACCTCTCTGGAGAAAAACATCTGAGACTATACTTTGGAACCCACTTTACACTTCCTGTTTCTCAGGAGCTGTAAAGCAGTTCCCAGGAGAACTTCCTCTTAGCTGGAAAGAAAAACAGGAGAAACCCCATTTTGTTCCCCCACCTCCCCAGCCACAGCTTGATCAGCATCAGCCCAGTGTCCTTTCCTTGCCACCCCGTGGCTCAGAATGCTTCCTTGGAACTGCAGCTGGCCTTTATCTTTAATAAGCATGCTTAAATTCAGCACTCAGTTCAGAATCAACTGTACCCTATGCAAGGCTAACATTTATGGAACCCTTCCTCCTGATTAAAGTGGGTTGGTGCTTCGGCTGTGTTTTAGGATACCTCAGCAGGTCTCTTTCTCACACACCCGTCTTAATTTCCTCACCTTCAGGTTTGATCCCCAAGGATTACCGATCTCTGAAAACACAGTATCTGCAGGTGAGGCCTGGAGAAGTTGTTCTAAGGGAACTTGGTGGAGGGGGAGTTAAGGGAAGTTTTGAAAAAGGCACAAGAAGAAATGGCCCCTTTTCCCCCACCCCATCCTGTTTCCATCCTAGCCCCCTTCTAGCAGTGTTAGCAAGCGTCTCCTCTCAGCACACCCTGCCTCTCATGGTGGGTGGCCTGGGCAGAGAGAATTTAAACAGTTCAGCCATTGATCCCAGTGAGTTCTTTCTCCTAGGAATCCCCTCACTGTAGCACCCTGTGAGGCCCTGATTTAACTCGCTCTCCTCGTCTTCCTCATGTCTTACTTCATCTGTGAACCCTTCCTTACCATCCTTAAATTCACAGGCTGCTCTGTCCTGTAAGAGTTTCAAGCTGCATTTTATTGCTCTTTTTTGGGGGGGGAGGCTTAACAAAATGTATTTAATGAAGGGAAGTTTATTTTTTTTGGTATGGGGGATTGAACTCAGGACCTTGAGCTTGCGAGGCAGGTGAGGCACCACTGAGCTAAATCCCTCGCCCAATGAAAGGAAGTTAGTAAAGAGGCACAAGGCCAAAATAGTCATGAGTCATACAGAAAATATATTTGTCTTTCTTTGGTGTTGAGTTATTCCTTTTCTTTTTTTTTTTTAGTACCGGGGATCAAACTCAGGTCCTTTTGCTTGTGCAGCAGGTGGCAAAACCACTGAGCTAAATCCCCGGCCCTAGTTATTCCTTTTCTATTCTTTCTTTTTTTAGACAGGGTCTCCTATGTAGTTCAGTCTGAATTACAATTGTAGTTCAATTGAACACTAATATGTAGCCCAGGCTGGCCTCAAACTTGGGGCATTCCTGCTTCAGCCTCCTTGTGCTGGAACTATTGGTGTGGGCCACCATGCCCAGCCTCTTTTTCTATTCTTTTTGGGTGTTTGTTTTTGAAGACAAAGTCTCATTATGTAGTTCAGGTTGGCCTTGAATTCACTGTGTGATCCAGGGTAGCCTTAAACTTGTGATCCTCCTGCCTCAGCCTTCCATGTGCTTGTGCCACCATACCTGGCTTGGTGTTGGATTATCTCTGATGTGAAAATCTGGCATATAACAAAGTGCAAGCCCCTACAGGGCAGAGGCTGCAGAGTAGGGTGTGAAGTCCTTCTCCCCCTCACCTCTGCATCGACTAACAGGGCCAGACTCTCGGCAGACACTCAGTAAATAGCCGATTGCATTTCCTTCAGAGCTATGGCCCTGAGCACCTGCTGACCTTCTCCAATCTGCGGCGAGCAGGGCTCCTAACAGAGCAGGCTCCGGGGGACACACTCACAGCGATGGAGAGTAAAGTGAGCAAGCTGGTGACTGACAAGGCTGCAGGTGAGCAGGGAGCTCACGGGTGACCTCATCCCTGTCCCCACCCCGGAAATTGTTCCCTCTCCTCTGGGTACACAGAACCCTGGGAGGAAGATGGCAGGGGAGGGAGGATGTGATCCCTTCCTGTTATGTCATCTTTACTGCTACTTCTGCCGGGAAGAGCAGTTTCTATGTACTGAGCATTTAGCATGTGCTACACTGTTTCGTGTAATTTCTTATTTAATCCTCAAAAAGACACTTTGGGGCCGGGGATTTAGCTCAGTGGTTCTGCCACCTGCCTTGCAAGCAGAAGGACCCAAGTTCGATCCCCGGTACCAAGGACCCAAGTTCGATCCCCGGTACCAAAAAAAAAAAAAAAAAAAAAGACTCTCTGAGCTAAGTTTTCTTTCCCCCATTTTATGGATGAGGAAACAGAGGTTTAGAGAAATTAAATGGCTTCTCCAAGGTCCTGTGGTTAGTTGGTCAGGTCAGTAGCTCTAAAGCCCAGACACTTAACCCATAGACTGGGGTCACCTTGTGGACTGCACTTAATAGGCAGGGCACACCCTGCAGGGGGAGGAAGAGAGTGGGTGGGAATCGGTGTGCTCAGACTGTTTTGGTTTCAGGGAAGTGTAGGTGAGCCGTTTCAAGGGGGTCTCTGGACATGTTGGTCCTGTCATGTCTTAAATGGTGACCCTTGTGCAGTGGGCAGTGTCACAGACCTATGGATCTAACACAGTTTTCCTCCCCAGGGAAGATTACCGATGCCTTCAGTTCTCTGGCCAAGAGGAGCAATTTTCGTGCCATTAGCAAAAAGCTGAATTTGGTATGTGAAACAGGGCTGGTTGGGGAGGCTGCAGGTTATTCCTCTGTGGAGTACTTTGAATCCATAAAAACCGTTTTGCTCTTTCATTTTTAGGAAGATCCTTTGGCAGCCCTGTAGGCATCAGCTTAATTTGAGACAAAACACAAAGATTGGCTCATTTAATTAACAAATACATGCCAATGAATAATGGGAAGAGGGGGATCTTCTTCCAGCCCCTTCACAGGGAGCGTCTCATAGAGAATCAGGAGGTGCTAAAGAGAAGTGGTTATCTTGGTTATAGATCCCTTGTTTTCAGGACTATTGCTGTTTCTCCCTTATGTGAAATGGGAACTGTTGTCTGGAATATGCTGCTCTTTGAAGGATTACCGCTGAGTTGTTGTTTGCCGGGTGTGGCACCTCTGTCCTAGATCCCCCGTGTGGATGGCGAGTATGACCTGAAAGTGCCCCGCGACATGGCATATGTCTTCAGTGGTGCTTACGTGCCCCTGAGCTGCCGAATCATCGAGCAGGTGGGAACAGCCATTCTTGCTTCTCTTCTCATTTTGCTCTCTGCTTTCCTATGGTTCCAGCTCTGTAATGCTGCTTACTAGCAGGAAACGTGACAGTCTGGCTGTTGTGCCCTCCTTTCATATGCCCGGTGCCCCCTGCAGACTTGAAAACAGTGCTTCCATCTCCCCAGGTGCTGGAGCGGCGGAGTTGGCAGGGCCTTGAGGAGGTGGTGCGGCTGCTCAACTGCAGCGAGTACTCATTTGCAGGTATGTGGTGTGGCGGGTGCGGCTGGGGGTGTCACCTGGTGCTCGTGTGCCAGTGCGGAGCTGAGGCGACTGATCCCACAGACATGACCAAGGAAGACAGGGCTTCCAGCGAGTCCCTGCGCCTCATCTTGGTGGTGTTCTTGGGTGGGTGCACATTCTCAGAGATCTCAGCCCTGCGCTTCCTAGGCAGAGAGAAAGGTAAGAGAACAGAAAGGTGAAAAGAGGCCTACATGGGTTCTGGGGCCCCACATGGGAAGGCTTTTCTCTTGGCCCTGGTACCACCTGCCACAGCCCTGCTGCTGCCAGTCCGCCTGGCTTGGCAAGTGTGTTCCCCAGGAGCCTGGTATCTCTGTGTTTACACTGGTGCTTTCATCAGTCGGGGACTTGGGGGACTCTGGGGCTCAGTGTGATCCCTGTGGAGCACCTGAGGTCCGCTCTTAGTCACTTCTGTTGCTGCTCTTGGCTCTTTAGGGTACAGGTTCATTTTTCTGACAACAGCTGTCACAAACAGTGCTCGCCTAATGGAGGCCATGAGTGAAGTGAAAACCTGAATATTCCCTGCCAGCAGGAAGCCTTCTCCAGACTATTCCCAGGGGGGTGGGTGTTTGGCACCCAGCTGGGAACACAGGGTCCCCAACTACCCTGCTCAGAGCTGGGGAGCGTGGAACTTACATAGGACTTTGAGAACATATCTGAGGAGAGAGTTCATGTCCTGCTCCCAAGATAGTCTTTGTTTTTGTTTACAAAGTACTGTATGGTCCATGCTGCTCAGATATGTGGGGGAAGAAGTATTCTTTACTAAATCCCATCTGAATATCACTGTAAATAAAGCCTCTGTAAATAAAGCCTCTGTAAATAAAGCCTTGTAGTTCTGGACCTGCGCCACCGACTCTATTAATGACAGCACAGGGGGGCTGGCCTCGAGGCCTCAAATGCTTCATGGCCTAGACTCTCAAGAGAGCTCTGGGCCTACTCCATTCTCCCTTGTAAAAGTCACTCACAGCTCTGTCCCAAAGTTTCCTCAACCTTAAAATAAGAAGGATGGATTTGATGATCAGCAATAGCTTTTTTGTTTTTTGTTTTCCCAGTACTAGGGATTAAACCCAGGGCCTTTACACTGAGCTACATCCCCAGGCCCTGTTAATTTTTAGCAAGACAGGGTCTTGTTAAATTGGCCAAGCTGGGCTTGAACTTTCAATCCTTCTGTCTCAGCTTCCCAGATGCTGGGATTACAGGCATGCAGCACTATTCCTGGCTTTTTTTGGCTTTAATCTTTCAAAAATGGCATACATTAGGGCTGGGGGATTTAGCTCAGTGGTTCTGCCACCTGCCTCACAAGTGGAAGGTCCTGAGTTCAATTCCTGGTACAAAAAATTACATACATTAGTGGTCTCTTCAGGCCTCTTCTAACCCCACAGTGCTGCCACTTAGCAGGAGAAAGAGAAAATGAAAACCTAAGTAACTATGTTCTTTCCATAGACAAATGATAATGCTGTATCAGAATATATTCCAAGGGAAAGGCAAGCCTCCAGTGTTCTGTCAGGCTAGTGGGCTACTGACAGGTCTTTTAGTCCACAGAAGGCACATATGGCATCAGAAAGACCCTACTTCAAGTAAATGGTCACCGAACACTGTGTTCATGCTCAGGTAGACACACAGTACGACCCTCTAATAGGTTCACGTGCGCACAGTATATGGTGTTTTTACCTGCTGAGCATGTGCTGTAAATGGCTATCTTTGCAACAGGCAAAGATGTGAGCTTTGGATCCACAGGATTAAAGACATGAGAGCAAATTTGCCTTAGCCATGGGTACTTTACAATAGGTCCTGGGAACACATCTGAACACACACATTTCTGAAGCTTTCTAAAAAACTTTCAAGTTAGTCATGCCACCTTGAAAACACCTAATCTCATATGAAAACTCAAGTTAATCAAGAATGCAAACAGCCAGGCATGGTGGCATATACCTGTAATCTCAGCACTCAGGAGGATGAGGCAAGAGGATCACAAATTTGAGGCCAGCCTGGACTACATAGCAACCCCGTCTTAACCCCACCTCCCCAGAAAAACCAAGTAAGTTTCAGAAGTGATTCCTGTATTGGTGTGAATATTTGGCACATTTGCTGAGGAGACACTGAAAGCACTGATGAAGTTTTTCTGAAAGTAAGAAAGTCATGTCTCTGAAGGTAAGGCCAAAAACATCTATTCCCTTTAGGGGAAAGGCAAGTAATAGGAATTTACAAAAAAAAATTTACAGAAGTCATAGTTGGCTTATAGTGAAAATGTGCAATTGCAGGTTATAATCAGACAAGGGTGAACCAAACAAAGAGGTGCCTTTTTCCTCTCAATGAAGAGGTTTAAAAGTACAGTATAGTAGGATTCAGCACTGATGAAAGTAACAGGAGGGCCTGGGGAGGCTTGGTGGCAGGCAAACTAATAAATAGTGTTCAACCTCGTTTAAAAGGAAGCATCACAGGCCAGGGATTTAGCTCAGCACAAGCCAAGGTCCTGAGTTCGATCCCTGGTACCAAAAAAAAAAAAAAAAAATGGAGCATCACACTTCTAGGAATCAGTCACAAAAATAATGCAAGATGCAAAGATTTATGTATGAAAACATCCCAGCGTTATCTTAAAAGTTATGATCTAAATATCAGCAATATAGTTGAGTTATGAGATAGCTATATGCCAGGAATTATGCAATTGTGAATCATTAGGAAAAAATGTGATGTATGTGTGCACTTAGGGATATTACTGTTTTAGCTTGAATATTCTCTAATACACTTTATAGAGTATCACATACTAAATCACTATAAAATTTGTTCTAAGAAGGGTGTAAACATTTTAATAAAATACTATGATTATAAATATATAAAAAAAGAAAGGGATACGAAAGTACTTTGATGTCCATTTCAAATTTTAAAGTTTTCATGTAACAAATTCATGTAATTTGGAAAAACATGCCCAGGTGATCTCAATTTATTCACCAATCGTCCACTCAAGTCTGAGAATTTTCTCCTCTGTGTAATGACGGTAATAAGTAGCAGGTTTGTCGTGATGATTAATGGCTAATTTATCTAGAGCGGTACCGTGCCCCGAGGGTCCCTCCTTTCCCCTTTAGTGTGTAGTTTCCTACATTTGGGAAATATTCGCACCGAAAGTCATCTCCCAGCTTCTCTGGCTGGAAGATTGAGGAAACCAGTTACAATGCTAATAATCTCTGAGCATCTCAGCACTATTCGAATCAAAACAGCGCGAGCCGGGCGGGGCTCGAGTGACGTCATCGTCGGGCGGGCCTTCTTTCCACCAGCGGCGCAGCAAGCGGAGCGTGCCACTTCCGGGGGTGGTCACGCGCACGCGCCGGCGGGATACATGCTTCTCACGCCCGACTCCTAGTCCTGCCTCAGAACCGCAGTGGGAAGTCGCGCCGTATGGGGCGGGGCTTCGCAACGAGTGACAGGGCGCCGCACCAATCGCGGAGCTGCTCACCTCAAGGCTCGTTTTGAAATTCCGCGGGGCCCAACGGCTCGTGGAGCAGCCAAGTCGCGCAGGATAGTCGGCGTTTGCGGGTGGTGGCTGCGCTCGGACCCGCGTGGAGGAGCTCGGGGGGTTGACTCCCGGCTGACTGGCGCGTCCGCCATGAGGAGAAGGTGCGGGTCGGGGGGAGTTGAAGGGCCCCGGGAGGGAGCGGCGCCCATTGCAGGTGCGGGGTCCACGAGGCCTCTGTCGTAGGGGCCTAGGGTCTTACTGCAGCCCCCACCCAGGGAGGCCCGGGACACCGCGAGTTCCTTCGGAGGGACGTGGCCGGGACGGGGACGCCCATGCCCATCCCGGGGCTCAGGTGCAGCTTCTTGGCACCGAGGCGCCTGAGTCCGGTCTTCTCTGGTCACGGCTTCTCGCTTCCCTGCACCAAGCGGTGAAGTTTCAAGTCTGTCCTCGTTTCCCTTTGCTTCTGGCCCGCGGTGCTAACCTGTTCCAAAGAACTGGGAAGAGGGCTGGGTTTCCTACACGTTAAGAGACCCCGAGTATGGAAATCTCGCTTCCCTGGCGCTGCGAGGAGGGAGTGTCCGCCTGGAATCGGTCTCAGGGTGTGACTCGGCAAGAGGTTGAGTGCCCGTTTTCTCACTTCTAAAATAATGTCAGCGGGCCGCAGATTTAGCTTAGTGGTTCCGCCGCTTGCCTCGCAAGCACAAGGACACGAGTTCGACCCCTGGTACCAAAAATAATAAAGCTAAGCCTTGTATGTTGAAAGTTGTAGGGCTGGGGATTTAGCTCAGTGGTTCCATCGCCTGCCTCGCAAGCGCAAGGTCCTGAGTTCGATCCCCGGTACCAAAAAAAAAAAAAAAAGTTGTACAGATGTTTCTGAAACTGGTGGGTGAAGTGTTGTGACGACTCCGTATTGAACCATATTGAATATTTTGTAGTTACTGGTCAAACTGATTCCCCCAAGGCTTAGCTTAGTAAGATTCTTGGTTCCATGATTACTTTTTTTTTCCTTCAGGCAAGGGCTTGCTATGGACCCCAGGCTGGCTCCAAACTCGCAGTGCCCCAGAGTGCCGGGATTTACAGCCAAGCACCACTATCCCTGGCCCATGATTACTAATTCTGATCAGCCTTTTCGAAATGCTCACCTCAGTAGAAGGGGTACAAATCATTAGTGCCACTGTGGAAACCAACTCAGTACTGTGTAAGGTTATGGTACTGCAAGTAGTCTTATCTGAAGGGCATTCTGTTTAAAATACCGTGGGTTTAAACTAATGATGCATTCCAAAATCTAGTAAAATTATAAATGATATTTAAAGGAAACTCTTAAGAGTTCATTGTGAGTTGTTCAGTCATCTACTTTCAAAGCAAGTGATTGAAGGGAGTTATTCTGGAACTTTGGTTCCAGGCTGACAGATATGATTATGCTTTAAAGTAGCAATGGGATTACTAAAAACTTGAATACTCTGAATAGCTGAATTTCAGATATTTGTATTTAGAAAGGAGAAATAGGCCTCAGAAACATATAACGGTTGTCAGACTGGCCACTGAGGTGAAACTGGTTATGGATTCCTGAGACAGGTTCGGAGAGAGACTGAGAAAGCTCCTATAGAGCTGTGAGGGTGAAAATGGATCAGGGATCAGTTCAGGCTGCCTGAAGGTAGGAAATCATTAGAGGATTGTTTGAGATCCTTTTCTGTCCAGAGACTGGAAAAACTGGCTCTTTTTACAATGTTTATGTCCTTGCATAGAATTCTTGTTTGCATTCTCAGTTATTCACTGATGTATTCTAAGAAAAAAAATCTCAGATTTGCTCCTTAAAGAGAATTATTTGAAACCATTTAGCAAGGTAGTATATAACTGCACCACAATAATTATTATTAACAGGGTTGAGGATTTAGCTCAGTGGTTCCGGTGCCTGCCTCGCAAGTGCAAGGACCCAAGTTCGATCCCTGGTACCAAAAAATAATAATAGTTATTATTATTATTAACAATGCATACTCTAAATTATTAGATCATACAACTGTTTTCCTCCTCTGCCCTCTCCAACTTTTTTTAAAAGTCTTGCTATAGGGCCAGGGATTTAGCTCAGTGATTCCGTCGCCTTCTATGCAAGCGCAAAGACCCGAGTTCGATCCCCGGTACCAAAAAAAAAAAAGTCTTGCTATGTAGTTCGGGCTGGTCTCTAACATGCATCGATCTTTCTGCCTCAACCTTCCAAGTGCTGGGACTACAGGAGTATGCCACCACACCCAACTGTACAGTTTTTTAAAATTGTTAACATTCTTTCAAAAATATGTTTTTGTCTTTTTGTTTTTTGAGACAGGGTCTTCCTATGTAGTAGTTGAGGGTGGCCTTGAACTCACTCTGTATCCCAGGCTGGCCTGGAACTCAGGGCAATCCTCCTTCCTCAGTCTCAAGTGCTGGGATTACAAGTGTGCCCCACCATGCTCGGCTCAAAAACACTTCTTGAATGTTATATACAAAGTACAGTTCTAAGTGTTGAGGACACTGCAGCAAACAAAACATATTCTTGCCCTTGTAGAGTTTATATTCTAATAGTAGAAGCAATAAGGAAGTAAATGTTACATTAAATAATAGTGCTCTGGAGAGAAATCAAGCAGAGAAAAGGGAGAAGGATTACAGACAGTATGGGAAGGCTCAGTTGTAGTTTTAGAGACATTTTTATTTTAAATAAAAAGAGAAATAAAAGTAATTGTTTAATTTTTAAGTTTTTCAGTTAAGTCACAAATTCAGATTATGTGCTAAGTGTCTTTAATAATAGCTCCCAGATATATTCCACATACCTTATAAATCACCTACTTGAAGTGTACAATGATTTTAGAATATTCAAGAGTTGTGTAATTGTCACTGCAATCACTTTTAGAACATTTTCATCATCCCTCCAAAATCCCATTAGCAGTCAATCCTCTTTTTAGGCCCTTGGTCCACACTCACAACTATTGATTTACTTTTTGCTCATTCTGGACAATTATAAATTCTATAACTATAATCTATAATTATAAATTCCATAAATAGAATCTTAGCTGTGGTCCTTTGTGACTTGCTTCTTTGATTTAGCAATTTTTTGCCAAACAACTTTCTATTGTATTGATATACATTTTTATTTACCCTTTCATTAGTTGATGGCCATTTGTGGAGTTTTCCCTTTTTGGCTATTATAGATAGATAATCATGTTATAAGCATTCCTGTACAATTTTGATACGGTCAGATTTTCATTTCTCTGGGTGGAACTTTTGGGTGGCATAATAACTTATGTTTAACTGGAGAAGGAACTGTAGACTGTTTCTCAAATGGGCGGTGTCACCTTGCAGGCTCCCATGAGGGGTCCAGTCTCTCACCAATACTTTTCATCTGTCGTTTTGATTACAGCCATCCTCGTGGCTGTGAAGTAGCATCTCATTGTGGTTTTGATTTGCATTTCCCTGATGACTAATGTTGCTGAGAGACTTTTCATGTTTATTGGCCATTTATACATTTTTGGAGAAATGTCTGCTCAAATTCTTTGCTCATTGTATGGGATTTTTTTTCCTCCTCTCTCTCTTTTTTTTTTTTTTTTGGTACCAGGGGTAGAACTCAGGACCTTCTGCTTGAGAGGCAGGCAGCAGAACCACTGAGCTAAATCCCAGCCCTTTTCCCTCTCTTTTAATGTACTGGGCATTGAACCCAGGGCCTCTCACACATGCTGGGAAGAACTCTAAGAATCAGCTGTATCTTTAGCCCTTTTCATTTTATTTTGAAGGCTGGCCTTGAACTCCTAGTGTTCCTGCTTAAGCTTTCTGAGTAGCTGGGATTACAGGTGTGTAATTTTTTTCCTGAATTTTTTTTTCATTACTGGGTATTAAACCTACAGGCATGCTACCACTGAGCTATTCTCCTAGCCATTTTTTTTTTTTTTTTTTTGGTACCGGGGATCGAACTTGGGACCTTGCGCTTGCAAGGCAGGCGCCGGAACCACTGAGCTAAATCCCTGGCCCTATTTTTTTTTTTTAAGACAGGGTCTCACTTAAGTTGTCCAGGCTGGCCTCAAACTTACAGTCCTCTGGCCTCAGTCTCCCTAGTAGATGACAGGTATGTGCCATTCTGCCCAGTTTAAAAGGTTTTTGTTTTGCAGTACTGGAGATTGACTTCAGGGCCTTTTCACTAGGCTACATACCCAGCTCCTTTTATTTTTTACTTTTGAGACAGGGTCTTACTAAATTTGCTAAATTGACCAGGCAGCACTAGAATTTGAGATCTTCCTGCCTTGGCCTCCCGGAATGCTGGGATTATAGGCTTGTACTACCACATCTAACTAAAAATTATTTGTAGAGAAATGTTAATATCGGGATTTTGATTTACTGTATATATCCTTTTGTTATCAAAGTGAAATGCAAAGGGGGTGTTTGGAGAAGCTCTTTAGTTGGACTTTAGTTCACTGAAATTAAATACATGTATTAATTACCTCTTTAAATTTTTATTTATTTTGCAGTATGGGGGATTGAACCCAGGGCCTTAACATTGACTTGTATTCCCAGCCTTTTTAATTTTTAAATTTTGACAAAGGATCTTGCTGAGTCACCCAGGCTGGACTCAGACTTGCAATTCTCATGCTTCAGCCTCTCACACTGCTGGGATTACAAGTATATGCCACCATGCCTGGCTCTGCCAAGTTTTTAAAACAGTTGTACCAGTTTCTATACATCATACCAGCAGTGTGTGAGAGTGCTGGCTTTTCTTTGTCTTTACCAATAATTGATGTTCTTTTAATTTTAGCTATTCTTTGTGTTACTAGTTTTGTTTTGTTTTGTTTTTTGGGTACTGGGGATCGAACTCAGGACCTTGTGCTTGCCAGGCAGGCAGCAGAACCACTGAGCTAAATCCCCAGCCCCTGTGTTACTAGTTTTAATTTAAGAAAAAGAACAAAGGGCTGGTGATGTGGCTTAGTGGTGCTGCACCTGCCTGGTAAGGACAAGGTCCTGAGTTCAATCCTTGGTGGTGGTGGGGGGAACAAAAATGGCAGGGTGTCATGGTCCAGGCCTGTAATCCTAGCACTTAGGAGGCTGAGGCAGGAGGATCCTGGTGAGTTTGAGGCACACCTGAGCTACATAGAGTTCAAAGCCAGCCTGAACTATATAGCGAGGCCCTGTTTCGAAAAACCAAAAAAAAGCTTTCAGACCCACCATCTGTGGTGGAACCGCCGCCAAGATGCAGATTTTCGTAAAAACCTTTATGGAGAAGACCATCACGCTCGAGGTTGAACCCTAGGACACAACAGAAAATGTAAAAGCCAAGATCCAGGATAAGGAAGGAATTCCTCTTGATCAGCAAAGGCTGATCTTTGCTGGTAAGCAACTGGAAGATGGACGTACTTTGTCTGATTACAACATTCAAAAGGAGTTCACCCTTCATCTTGTGTTGAGACTCCTCAGTGGTGCTAAGGAAGAAGTCTTACACCACCCCCAAGAAGAATAAGTATAAGAGAAAGAAGGTTAAGTTGGCTGTCTTGAAATACATACTGTAAGGTGAATGGAAATGGCAAAATTAGTCGTCTTCGTCAGGAGTGCCCTTCAGATGAATGTGGTGCTAGAGTTTTTATGGCAAATCACTTTGACAGACATTACTGTGGCAAGTGTCTGACTTACTGCTTCAACAAACCAGAAGACAAGTAATTATACATGAGTTAATAAAAGACTTCAGCTTAAAACAAAACAAAAAAAATTTGCTAGTGTGAAGTTCCTGTAAAACAGTTGGCAATTCATTACTTCTTTGTTTTTGTTTTGTTTTTCTGTACCAGGGATCGAACCCAGGACCTTGCGCTTGCGAGGCCAGCTAAATCCCTGCCCCAGTTTTTGAGACAGGGTCTCGCTATATAGTTCAGGTTGGACTTAAGCTCACTATGTAGCCCAGGCTGGCCTTGAACTCATGGCAATCCTCCTGCCTCAGCTGCTCGAGTTCTGGGATTACAAGCGTGTGCCACCATGCCCAGCATCACCAGCAAACTCTTGTGTTGGGAGTTATTTTACTGATGTTTTGTCTGGTTTTTCTTTAACAAAAGCATTTTAATTCTGTATTATACTGCCAATCTGTAGAATTACTGAGAAGGTCCAGATGCTGAGTGTTATCCAGAAGGCGTTTCCATGATGAAATGTGACACTGAATTTTGCTTTGCTAGTCTGGCATTTGGGGGGAAAGTGAAGGGGAGTAGTTAAAAGTGAATTAAGCTTACTGCTTGTTTTCCTTTTATTTTTTTAGCCTTAAGGCCACTAAGAAGCTAGTCTATTTAGTTCCTAAAAAATACTGTTTTACTTTTAGTCTTGAGGTAGTGATTGATGTAACAGGCAAAAGTTTTTTGCTTTTTAAAAAGCGAGGTGCTGGCAGAGGAGTCCATAGTATGTCTCCAGAAAGCTCTAAATCACCTTCGGGAAATATGGGAATTAATTGGGATCCCAGAGGACCAGCGCTTACAGAGAACCGAGGTTGTAAAGAAACACATCAAGGTGAGTTGAGCAGTTCTATTATCTGCAGGGGGGCTGGGTAGGGGGTGCTAGTGTCTCTCTTGAGATAGCTGGCAGAAGTGACAATGGTCACTCACACTAGGACAGCACACGCTCTTGTTTTTAAGTCCATTCTTGAAATTTGGAATTGTGAGGGTTTTGTAAATGTTAAATGAAGTTGTATAAATTTATGGGATATATAGCTACACTCCCATTCATCAGTTAGAAATAGATTATGGATTACTAAAGTGATTTTTATTGATAAGGTGACGTTCTTAGTATTATTAGGATAATATTTTTTTATTATTATTATTATTTTTTGGTACTCGGGATCGAACTTGGGTCCTTGCGCTTGCACAGCAGGCAGCGAAACCACTGAGCTAAATCCCCAGCCCCCACAGGATAATATTTTGATATAAGCTACACATACCACCCTGTAGCTCAAGGGGCTGGGGATTTAGCTCAGTGGTTCCACTGCCTGCCTCACAAGCACAAGGATCTGAGTTCGATCCCCAGCCCCCACCCCCAAAAAAGAAATTACCACCCTGTAGCTAATGCAAAGCAAGCTTCATGCACTTCATGCAGTAGTGCCCTGGTACCTAGAGTAGTCAAATTCAAAGAGACAGGAAGTAGAATGGTGGTTGCCATTTTTCCCTTCATGGCCCAAAGTTATAGATTGTTTTCTGTCCTGTAGGATCTCCTGGATATGATGATTGCTGAAGAGGAGAGCCTGAAGGAAAGGCTTATCAAAAGCATATCCATCTGCCAAAAAGAGCTGAACACCCTGTGCAGTGAGTTACATGTCGAGCCATTTCAGGTGCGCCTTCCAGACCTGGGTGGTCTGGCTTGGGTCTGAGACAGGAAGAAGCATTGGCTTGAGACTGCACATAGGTGGCTTCCTGGGCCAGGGATTTAGCTCAGTGGTTCCGCCGCCTGCCTCGAAAGTGCAAGATCCTGAGTTCGATTCCCAGTACCAAAAAACAAAAAAAAAATAGAAGGCTTCCCGGTAGGGGGTGTTAGATGTGAGAAATGGAGAATTTCTGCCTGCTTAATTCTGACAAAGTAATTTTCATGTACACAGAGAGTTGCCCTGTCGAGGGGTGAAGCAGCAGATAGGTGATGAAAACCAAGCTGCTTCTTGCATTATTATTATTTTTTAAATAAACTCTTAAGTAAAGATAGGCACAGATCGCACTGCTGTTTCTCTGAAAGAAAATGAAAAGTGGGTACTTAGGAAACAAAAGTAACTAGTGATACAAGGGAAGGTTTCAAAGAAAGCCCAACTTTCATTACCCAGAAGCTGCATGCCACCGAAGCAACTAAAATAATTAATTAATTAATTGATTGATTACTTTTTTGGTACCGGGGATTGAACTCTGGACCTTGTGCTTGTGAGGCAGGCAGTGGAACCACTGAGGTAAATCCCCGGCCCTAAAATAGTTACTTTATAAGACATGTCTCACAAGCTGAGTGTCAGGAGAACACAGTCCAATTCAGAGAAGGTTGGGATTAGCTGTAGATAGCTGAGGGATTGCTGTCCAACACAAGTTAACAGTGCCCTGGTACCTAGGGTAGTCAAATTTAAAGAGACAAAAAATAGAATGGCTGGGAGTAGGGGAAAATTGGAACTTATTGTTAAATAAATGCAGAGTTTATAAGATGAAATGAGTTCTGGAGAAGGATGGTGATTCTTGCACAACATGAGATACAGAAGTTCCTCAACTTACAGTAGGGTGAGATCCCGATGAAACCATTTTAAGTACACAAAAATATATGTAGTACACCTTACCTACTCAACATCCTAGCTTAGTCTTCGCTTTCCTTACTTGTGTTGGAAACAGCATTAGTATGGGTACTCGAAATAGATTCCACTGAATACTTATTGGTTGTATACTGCTGTAAAGCCAAAAATCAGTAAGTTGAAGTCATTGCTAAGTTGGGGACCATCTGTACTTAAATACCACTGAACTATATACTTTAAAATAGTTTGGATGATAAAGTTTGTCATGTTATTTTACTGCAATTAAAAAAAAGAGGGCTGGGGATGTAGCTCAGCGGTATAGCACCTGCCTGACAAGTGAGGTGTCCTGAGTTCAATCCCCAGTACCAAAAAAAAAGTTAGAAAAAGCACCCTAGTATTTAGTATTCATCTTTTCTTATTAGGGACCATATTCTGTTGACCATGATTTGACTTGTAAAGTTAACTGAAAGTCTGTTGTCCTAGTTTCCTCCCATTTTCCTTTTCATCACTTGGAACACTGTAGCAATGGTCAGTGGTACGTTGTCTTATGCAGGAAGAAGGAGAAACAACTATCCTGCAACTAGAAAAAGATTTGCGCACTCAGGTGGAATTAATGCGAAAACAAAAAAAGGAGAGAAAACAGGAACTGAAGCTACTTCAAGAACAAGATCGAGAACTTTGTGAAGTTCTTTGCATGCCCCATTACGACATTGACAGCACCTGTGTTCCCAGCTTAGACGAGTTAAATCAGTTCAGACAACACTTGGCAACTCTGAGGGAAAAAAAGGTATGCTGTCTGCATTCGTACTTCCTAAGAGTTCATTTGACCTTCTCCTAGGTACCTTTTTTTTTGGTACCGGGGATTGAACTCAGGACCTCCGCCTTCCCTACGTATCTTATAATAGTTTTGGGTTTTTTTATAGGCATCTAGGCGTGAGGAGTTTGTCAACTTAAAAAGACAGATCATACTATGTATGGAAGAATTAGATCGCACTCCAGACACAAGCTTTGAAAGAGATGTGGTGTGTGAAGATGAAGATGCTTTTTGTTTGTCTTTGGAGAATATTACAACACTACAAAAGTTGCTACGGCAGGTAATGCCTTCTCAAATTACAGCCTGGGATCTCAACAGAATACACTATTTTGAAAAACTGACAAGTTTTTCTTCAGTCTTAAGGAGCCAGTGTAAGTTAAGAGGATGAAAGTGAGCTGGGCATGGTGGTGCACGCCTGTAATCCCAGCACTTGAGAGGCTGAGGCAGGAGGATTGCCATGAGTTCGAGGCCAGCCTGGGCTACATAGTGAGTTCAAGTCCAGCCTGAACTACATAGCGAGACCTTGTCTCAAAAAACAACAAAAAAAGAGAATGAGGGTGAAGTCCAATGTCTCGAGAAACCAAAAAAAGCATGAGGAAAGATATATGATGTACAACTTTTTTTTTTTCTGGTGCCAGGGAAGTGAACCCAGGGTCTTAAACCCAGTGTCTCATGGATACAAGGCAAGTGCTCTGCCACTAAGCTGAATTCCCAATCCTGCTTCCTTTTTTTAAAAAAAATAAACTGTTGGGCCGGGGATTTAGCTCAATGGTTCCGCCACCTGCTTCGCAAGCACAAGGTCCCGAGTTCGATCCCCGGTACCAAAAAAAAACAAACAAAAAAACTATTATGTAAATAAGAAAATTAAAATTTAATATTCTAAGAAAAGGAAACAAATATAAATGAAATAAGATTAGCCATTTAAATTAGCTTAGTGTTTAATTGAAAAGCTATTTCAATTCAAAATTTGAATCCAGTTCCTGAGATCTGAAATCCATAATGATAGCCTTACAACTTGTGTTTAGAAGGCACGAAAAGACACCTCTTGGAAATCTTTTCTGAAAGTGCTCCTTCTCCATGTGGATCCAAACATTTCTCGATGGGTGGCCAGAGGGCCAGCCTTTTTTATGCTGTTTTGCTATAATCGCTGCCTTTCCTTCTACAGCTGGAAATTCAAAAATCACAAAATGAAGCAGTGTGTGAGGGCCTGCGTGCTCAGATCCGAGAGCTCTGGGACAGGCTGCAAATACCTGAAGAAGAGAGAGAAGCTGTGGCCCTGAATATGACTGGGTCAAATGCCAAAGTCAGGACAGCGGTAAGAAACCCAGTGGGTGCTGAGTCAGCAATCTTGTACAAGTATTTCTGGGTCCAATCTGATGTCCTTAGCAGCTTCTTCCGTGGGCCTGTCTATTCTTTTTTTTTTTTTGGTACCGGGGATCGAACTCAGGTCCTTGCGCTTGTGCAGCAGGTGGCAAAACCACTGAGCTAAATCCCTGGCCCGGGCCTGTCTATTCTTAAAGGCAAGCATTAGAGCCTGATGTGGTGAAACCTGTAATTCCAACACTCTGGGAGGCTGAGGTAGGAGAATTGTAAGCTTAAGCCCAGCCTGGCCAACTTACCCACTTAGTCAAACTCTGTCTCAAAATGGGGGAAGGGACTGGGGACGTAGCTCAGTGGAAATGCCCTGAGTTCAATCTCCATTACCACCAAAAAGAAAAAAAACCCACCAGAGTCAGGTATGGTGCCTCATGTCTATAATCCCAGCTGCTTGGGAGGCTGAGACAGGAGGATCGTAAGTTTGAGCCCAGCCTGGGCAACTCAGTGACTTTAAGAGACTCTGCCTCAAAATAAAAAATAAAAAGAGTAGAGGGGTTGAAGGGGAGGGGAGGGGGATGGGGAAAAAAAATAAGAACCAAGATATATCATGTAAAGGTGACATGGAATTTTTGAAAATAGTCAACAAAATAAAGTGTAGCCAAAGGTAACAACAACAACAAAAATATAAAAAGTGTTTTCTTATGGGAGTGAATGACTGACAAAGTACCTAAGAGATCACCAACATTCTTCACTATAGTGGGGGAAAAGGTAATATTCAGACACTAAAACTAGGAATTTCCAATGATGAATGTCATCATACACCTAAAAGGTGTACCTAAAAGGTACCAATAAACTTAATGGAACAAAATAAAAAATAAAAAAGCTGAGCATAGTGGCACATGCCTGTAATCCCAACATTAGGGAGGCTGAGGCGGGAAGATTGCTGCAAGTTCGAAGCCAGCCTGGGCTACCTGTACTATAGAGTGAGACCTTGTCTCAAAAAAAAAAAAAAAAGGTATCATAACCACTCTAAATGTCTTTTTCTTTTAGCTACAATTAGAAGCAGATCGACTGGAAGAATTGAAAATGCAAAACATGAAGAAAGTAATTGAGGCAATTCGAGTGGAGCTGGCTCAGTACTGGGACCGATGTTTTTATAGCCAGGAGCAGAGAGAAGCTTTTGCTCCCTACTATGCTGGTTAGTACAGAAGTGATGGTCTTTATATGGCCTACTCACTGGTGTTTTGTAAGCCCAGGGACTCAGTAGGGAGTTCTGTATTTCCTCTTATGAATAAATTCAGCCAACGAAGCCACCCTTAACCATATTATCTCAGTTCTTCTCCATGTCAAGAGATGAGGACCCTAAGGCAAATAAATGTTGAGCAGCTTAATCCTGAGGCACATACAAGAAAGTGCCTGAGCCAGCCCACTGGAATTCTAGGCCAGCCTGAACATAAAGATAAAACTGTTCTAACTAAAGTCAATGAACATTTTTAGACATTTTCCATGACTCAACCTCTGTTGGCTGGGAAAAGCTAAAAGGAAGGATATGAAAGAAACCTAAGTTGAGGCAAGAGAAGCACAGATCTTGGAGAACATTATTTTAATCTAAGCCCTAGTCCCTTAGTACCCCTGGGCTGATCTTGACAAGCCTGGCTTTTATTTTTCATTAGCCACAATGTATAGAAATTCCTATATCACTTTATTACAAGGCAGAACAATCTTAATCTCCATTTTAGGGGGGGTGGAGTCTTACTAAATTGGGATACTAAATACTAGAGGATGTTTTCTGGAACTACTGGGCCTGTATGTTACAGAGGACTACACAGAAAGCCTGCTGCAGCTGCATGATGCCGAGATTGTGCAGTTAAAAAACTACTATGAAGTTCACAAGGAACTCTTTGAAGGTGTCCAGAAGTGGGAAGAGAACTGGAGGCTTTTCTTAGAATTTGAGGTACTGCCCTAGTGTTTGTCTGTTTTCTCTAGAGTAAAATGAAATGTTAAGAAACCATGCCCTGTAGGGCCAGGGATTTAGCTCAGTGGCACTGTGCCTGCCTCACAGGCTCAAGGTCCTGAGTTTGATTCCCAGTACCACACACACACACAAAAGAAACCATGCCCTGTGTAGTTAGAGGGGCTCTTTTTGTTCTTTGCCAGGCATCTACTACCCTGTCTCTGTCCTTTTAAGTCTGAATTGCTGCTAACCCTCTGTACTTGTTAAGCCTGTGTGCAGGGGCATGTAAGAGAAAACCGCAAATGAATAGCTGTCAGTTGTTGCAGGTAAGTGCCAAGGCAAGCAGGCTCTGCATTTCAGCAGTGACCAGGGCCCAGGCTTCTTTAGCTTGGGGCTTCTCCACCAATGAGGGGGCCCTTCCTCCTCAGGGCCATGGGGCTGCTAGAGCTCTGACACAAATGCAGCCCCATTTCGGGCAGTGTGATGGAGGAAAGAACAAGGAAGGCATTGCCCTCCATCCTCTGTAAGGGTTCTTCCCAACCTCTCTTTACAGCACTTGGCTAGGAGAGTTGCAGTCCCCAATGTGGATCTGTTACTAAGGAAGGCGAAAAGAATGGATGTCAGGGCAGGCACCCAGCATTCTCTATCATTACAGCTTTTGCTTTTTTTTCTACAAAATTGGCTGGTTATGGGGTGCATTTGTATACTCTCAATTCCTTTTCTTCTGATATACTTGGCACAGACAGCATTTTAGAGCCCAGGGACAGGACTAGGTTGAGTCAAGCGAGGCATCTAGGGCCCAAAGTTTTAAGAAGACCTCATTCTCAGGTTCATGCTAGAAGGGGATTTTAGAAAATCTTTAGTTCCTTCAAGTTTACTGGCAGAAAACTAGGTCTCAGGTGGAGAGAACAGAGTGAGGTCTTACAGCTGTTCTGGTTGAAAGCAAGGAGGAAGACACATGGACAAAGGGCTAAAGCAGCAATCTTGTTGACGTGCCCACATTTAAGAAAAACATAAATGGATTCTTTTCCCTTCTAGTTATTGTTTATAGACTGTATCTAATCAAGCATTCTGTGATAGAAAACATTGTTTTCACATTTAGCCTCCAAATTGCCAAGAATGGTTCTATTTGCTTCTGTTTCCAGATAGTGGACTTCACTTAAAATGACAAGTTATATACTTATTACTGTATGTACAGGGCCGGGGATTTAGCTCAGTGGTTCTGGCGCCTGCCTCACAAGTGCAAGGACCCGAGTTCGATCCCCAGTACCAAAAAAGAAAATACTGTATGTACATTATAAAAGATTAGAAAAAAGATAGTTAAAAAGAATGAGAAGCTGTGTATATGCATGTATTTATGTGCAGGCCTGGGGATCAAACCCAGGGCCTTGCAAATGTTAAGAGCTCTACCATTGAGCTGCACCCTCTACCTCTCATTTTACATTTTTTATTTTGGGAGGATTTAATGAAACCCTTATTTCTAACCCTCCTGACCATGCATCTCAGCTGCATCTTATAACAATGTGCCATTAGTAAGTGGACACGGGCCGGGGATTTAGCTCAGTGGTTCCACCACCTGCCTCACAAGCAGAAGGACCTGAGTTCAATCCCCTGTACCAAAAAAGAAATTTCATCATAGTAAGTGGACAAGTAGAGGCACCACACCAAACCCTCTGAATGTAGACCTCCATCCCCTCCATACACCTCATGTCCATAGTGATGTGTCATCATCTGACACACAAGTCGAGGAAGGGAGCTGATGACACTGTTACTTCATGCTGTTCTTTAGATGAAGAGGAAGTGGTAACTTTCTTGCACGTGCCTGGCAGTGCCCATGGCTCTGAAGGGCACCGTTCCTCATCACTCAGAGTGGATAGGAATGCAAAGCTCTTAAAGAAATTTTTTTTGTGTGTTTGTGGTACTGGGGATCGAACTCAGGACCTTGCACTTATGAGGCAGGTGCAGTGCCACTGAGCTAAATCCCTGCCCCCTTAAAGGAATTTTAATAATATGTATCATGAGAATGAGAAATCTTAGCAGAAGTAATTAGTCTGATTATCCTAGTCAGAAATAAATGAAGTAAAATGAAGGGCTGGTGATTTAGCTCAGTGGTTTTGCTGCCTGCTGCGCAAGCACAAGGACCCGAGTTCGATCCCCAGTACCGAAAAAAAAAAAAAAAAAATGAAGTAAAACGTATTTTTCAGAGAAAAGCTTCAGACCCAAGTCGATTTACAAACCGGGGAGGAAATCTTCTAAAGGAAGAAAAGCAACGAGCAAAACTTCAGAAAACACTCCCTAAGGTAATATTGTTGCTAAGATTTTTTGATGCTTACCTCCAAGATACCTCATTTTATCTTTGAGAGCATGTTTGGAGGTTCTACTAGGGGAGTGCAACTACTTGTATACCCGTGACCGAGGAAGTGGTCCTCCTCTATCTAGGGGGGTTGTCCTCTTTGATTGAGCATACAGCTTTGGGAGGGATGCACATGGAGCAGTGAGGGAGGAAGGGAACACTGCCTAGCCAGCCAGATCAGCCAAATCAACCCTGGTGATCAATGGAGTGACAGATGTCACACCCAGATCGCCCCCACATCCTCACTTTATTTTTGTGGCCTGGGGATTGAACCCAGGACTTTCACACTGGGCATGAGACAGGTCTCACTAAATCATGGAGTTGGGCTCAAACCTGGGCTCCTCCTGCTTCAGCCTCCCAGAGTGCTAGGATTATAGCACATACTACGACACCTGGTAGATTTCACTTTCTGTGTGTCCTTTGCTATGTATTATTTTGCCCCCAAACTCTTTTCTTTCAAAGATTTTAAGAATATATTGAGCCTTCCATGTAAACAACTGATTATCAAGGTATGTCAGTTTTCTAGGGCTACTGTATTACCACAGACTAGGCATCATAAAGAACAGAAATGTGGGTCAGGGATTTAGCTCAGTGGTTTTGCCACCTGCTGTTCAGGGGCGAGGGCCCAAGTTCGATTCCCCGGTACCAAAAAAAAAAAACAGAAATGTATTTTCTTAAAACTATGGAAGCTAGAAGTCTGAGTCCAAGGTGTCACTGACAGTTGAGTTCCTGAGAACTTTCTGCTGGGCTGGCTTGCAGATATCTGCCCTCCCTTCCCCGTGTCTTTTTTTTTTTTTGGTACTGGGGATCAAACTCAGGTCCTTGCGCCTGCAAAGCAGGCAGCGGAAACACTGAGCTAAATCCTGGCCCTCACACTGTTTGTCCTAAGCACCACCAGTCTCGCTGGTGACTTCAGCTACCTTTGTAAAGACCCTCTCAATACAGTTACATTTGGAGGCACTGGGAGTTAGGATGTTAACATGAATTTTGGGGCAGTAATTCAGCATGTAATATAGTACAAGGTTTTGTGAAAGTGCCATATGTAGGGTTTATTACTATTTCCTTTTATTGTTTTGTTTTGAGACAGGGTATTGCTGTGTAGTCTAGGTTGGCTTGAACTCATTATATAGCCCAGGCTTGCCTTGAACTCATGGCAGTTATCCTGCCTCAGGCTCTCCAGTGCTGAGATTATAGGTGTGCACCACTATACCCAGCCTATTTCCTTTTTCAGTAAGTGATGGTCACCATTTTATTGGGTTGTATCAGATACTATTTCAAAGTGTTTTCACTTGTTCAAATTATTATCACGTATTCCTATGTTATTTCCATTTTTACGGATAAGGAAACTGAGGTACTGAAAAGTAACTTGCCTATCTTTTCACAGCTAATGAGTAGTAGATTTTATTTGATTTTCAAGACAGGGTCTCCTTATGTAGTTCAGGTTGGTCTTGAACCCATTATGTAGCCCAGGCTGGCCTTGTACTCATGGTGATCCTCCTCCCTCAGCCTCCCAAGTGCTCGGATTACAGGTGTGCACCACCACACCCGACAAAATGGTAGATTTTAGATTGAAACCCAGGTAGTCTGAATCCATAGTCCTACTTGTAGTATACTGTTTAGTTAATATTACCAATCTTGGCAATGTTGCCTCCAGCTTTAGGCATCAGACCCTCAGTATCCAGACTCCAGCTTCTTGCTTTTTTCCATCTTTGCATAGGTTGTGAATGAACCATCCTTAGGCTTTGATTTCTGGTTATTCTGACCTGTGTGGGTCCAGCTACCTGAAGTTAGACTAATAATACTCTGGGGAGGGGAGAGTTGCTCTTTTTGTTTTTTGGGTTTATTTGTTCTGAAATGGTTTCACTATGTAGCCCAGGCTAGGCTCGAACTCGAAGTCCTCTTGCCCCAGGCTCCTAGTACTGTAATTGTAGGTACCTGGTGGTGGACTCACTCTAGGATGATTGTTTCCTTTGGGCTTCACACCAAAGACTTGAAGAATCAACATGGCATTGTTTCTGGTCTCAGCTGGAAGAGGAGTTGAAGACACAGATTGAAATGTGGGAACAGGAGCAATCAATGGCATTTCTAGTGAATGGGCAGAAATTCATGGAGTATGTGATGGAACAATGGGAGGCACACAGACTGGAGAAAGAGAGAGCCAAGCAGGAAAGGGTAAGTGTGTGTGAAAACTGGGAGTGTGAACACCCTTGCATCTGCCAGGGTCAGGGTGGATTTAAGACTAAGCAGCCTGCAGGAGTTCCTTTTATCTCGGGCTTCAGAGGTTTGGCACTGAGTGTCAGCTCCTGTTCCCGTTCCAGACCTGTTCTGCTGGGACTCATTACTGTTGCTTCTTTTACCCAGCAATTGAAGAACAAGAAGCAGACAGAGACAGAGATACTGTATGGCAGTGCTCCCCGGACGCCCAGCAAGCGGCGAGTTCTGGCTCCCAGCACTCCCGGCAAAGTACGCAAGGTAAACACGACACTTGTTCGGAGCTGCTCATGAAGGAGGGGAGGACAGGGCTCTTTGCCCACTCTTGCCCTCTGGCCTGCTGAGATGGGAAAGAGGTTTTGTCTATTCCAGGCTGGGTTCATCTGAGTGAGTGGAAGGCTGAAGTCTAACTCTGAGCAGTGGCTCACAGTGACAGTTGGGGAGGGGCCAGCTTTCACCAGGTGTTTAGTCCTTGCACTAAACTCCTAGGGCCAATAACTGTTGATATTCTGTGATGAAACTTTCACAGGTTCATCATCCTGTAGTTCCAACAGGTGACCGTGGTACTAGGTAAAAGACAACGTTCATGTTTAATAAATGGAAAAATTTTAGAGGAATATTTAATACTTAAGTCCGGGCTGTACTAATCAGTCTGTGATAACAATGTGGCCGACAGTTCTTGGCTGACACTGACTCAGTGTTAGGGTGGCTCTGGTTCTTGTCAGCACACAAAACTTTCAGACTTTAAGTTTTGCCCACCTGGAGTGCTGGGATCACAGGTGTGCGTCACTGTGCCCAGTTAAGTTTTGGTATGTGTCCACCATGGAACCATCACCAGGATCAAAACACTGTAATGGACATATTCATGGGCCCTGAAATTTGTAGTGCTATTTTGTATTCCCTTCCTCCTCCCTCAGCCTGTGGCAGTCAGATTTTGTCACTATAGATTACTTTGCATTTTCTGACATTTTATATAAATAGAATCAAACTGTTTCATAATTTTGAGGTTCACGTTATGTTTCAATAGTTCACTCCTTTTTATTGTGAAGCAGTATTCCATTCTATAAATACATCACAATCTGCCCATTCACCTGTTGAGTATTGATTATTTCTAGCTTTGGCTATTACAGATAAAACTGCCGTACTCATTTTTAAGTCTATAGATAAACTGCTTTCATTTCTCTTGGATAGAATATTAGGGTCATATGATAGATGTCTGTGGCATAAGTAGGTGCACCACTTTACAGTTCCATTTGTTGGGTATAAATAGGCTTTAAACTTTTCATGAGTTTCTGCAAAGATGTGCAGAATTAACCGAGCAGGCTGTTTAGCAAGTAGACTCATCTTTTCTGAACTGCTTTGTATACGCATGTCGTTTTGGGGGGGCAGACAGGTTGCTGGCAAGGCTGAGCGTGTTACCTCACATCAGTAATAGATCTGTTGTTCTTCTCAGCTGAACACTACCACCATGTCCAATGCTGCAGCCAATAGTAGCATTCGTCCTGCCTTTGGGGGGACAGTCTACCACTCTCCTATGTCTCGACTTCCTCCTTCTGGCAGCAAGGTTAGTAACTCTGTACAAGGGCATCTTCATCTACTTGGTCTCATCTCCAAGATCCCTGGATTCAGTTTTCAGTGAGATGCTGAGTTGATAGATATAAACCAGATAATCATTAGATAATGATAAAAAACTAATGAGTTAAAAAAGAACAGTCAGTGAGCCTCTTCACTGGTACCACAGGAAGCACTGGGCAGTGCTAGGGACAGTGAGGATCAGTAGTACTGAGCTAGGTCCCCCTGGATGTGGGTTCCAGCCCAGTGACACTGGGTCACTAGATATCATCAGGTATCAAAAGGTGAGATGGAGACTCTACTAAAAAAGGATCAGCCTTGCAAATAGGCCATGTTCAGGATAGGTGCTATGTAGATCATTTAAGAACTTGTGTACTTTTTTTCTCCAAACCAGAAGTCCAGGATTATAGACATATACCACATATAATGCATCATAGCTGCGTGTGGTGACACATGCTTTTAACACCAGCATTCTGAGATGCTGAGGCAGGAGGATCACAGATCCTTTCTCCAAAAAGGAGGGAGGGGTGTGGCTCCACATGAAGGCCCTGGATGCAGTCCCCAGAACTATAAAGCCATACAAAAACACCTTGATTTGATCAGTGGGGTTTTGTGCGTGTGCATATACGTGGATCTGTTTTTCCTTCCTGCAGCCAGTAGTCACTTCCACCTGTTCAGGAAAGAAAACTCCCCGTGCCAACAGACTTGGGGCCAACAAGGAGAACCTGGAGCTCAGTGGCAGCTTCCTGAGCGGTGGGTACCCTGGCTCAGCCTCCCTCCAGCGCAACTTCAGCATTAATTCTGTTGCCAGCACCTATTCTGAGTTTGCGGTAATTCACCTTTCCTAATATCTACCAGTCTCTGGGAAGCACACAGTTGGGGCAGAGTGGGGATCTTCCCTAGTCAGGTCAGTTACCTCGGAGGCTGAGAATCCCTTTCCTGCCTTGACCATGGTGTGGGTATGGGTGGCTTAAGGGGTTATATAGGGTGCAAGTTGGCAGCAGCACTGAATATTTAACCTGGATCCTTCTGCTTAAGATAAAACCATTCCCTGGCTGAAGGAGGTGACCCGCTATTCACTATCCTGGTGCTCTCTTGGTGGAGTTCTTGGTAATTGTCTTAATTCTTTGTTCTTAGAAGGACCCATCCCTCTCTGACAGCTCACCTGTTGGGCTTCAGGTCTGTATGGCAACCTCTGCATGTCCCATGATCCCCTTTTCAAATCTGATCTGTCGTCTGCTGGCTTCATTCCCAACAGGGCACAGGGCTACACTAACCCATAATCTCAGCCGTTTTGTCACAGAACCTTTCTTACAAAAAAAGTAGGGATTCCTGTTATGGATTTCAAAAACAGGTATCTTATATTCCAAATGATTAACCTGTGATTAATAAAGAAACTTGTTCAGACTTGAATTGGATTCTCAGCCCCACCTAAAATCAGGGGAAGATTTTTTTTAGACTGTTTCACGGAAGAAAACTTTCATCCTCATTTATGACATCCAGAAAGAATAGAGGCCCCATCATGTGGGGAGGGGAGCCCCAGCTGTGTGCTGCTTGCAATGAGGTTCTTGGCCTGTTTGCTGATTGTGTCCTGGAGTATATGCCTTACTAACCTCTTGGGGCTGATCACCAACTTTCTGTCTACCTAAGCTGGCCACTGCTTATTTCCTCTCTTTTGCCTGTCTACCATCCTGAGCTGCTAACGTGTGTATGAGGCACTGGAAAGTAGTTTTTCCAGCCTGGTCTTCACCTCATAGTATCCTGCTCTGTAGCTGCTAACACCCAACTGTAATGCCTTTTATTTAACAAACTGGGTTCTCTTCCCTCGATATCCTATCAGTGAGTGGTGAGGCCGCTTCTCTCCCTTGAGGGGATACTGAGTAAAAGAAAAAAGCTTAGGGTTTCTCCCATGTTGTCATGGTACTTTGGAGCATTGGAACTAGCTTTATACTTGGATACCTTTTCCAAAATACAAATGCATAGAAGTGAGTGGCTAGCTAGTTGCTAGCAAGAGGGCCCAGCTTTCTCATGTTTGCTCAGCCAAGGTCCATTTCATCTATTTGGGGCTTAAATGTACCTTCTGAGGAGTTCATCTGGCTCTGTTGCTATGGCTAATAAACTCCACCGGGCAGCACTAAAGCCACTAATGCTCACCTCCACTAATACCTTTCTCAGTGGTCATTCACACTCTGTCTTCTGCTTCTATACCATGTGCTCCAGCATGAGATCAAATCACCAGCAGGTTACAAGGTCCTCAGCCCCAGGGATTGGTAGATAAATTGGGCAGCCCGTTATTTTGTAAAGGGCTCAAGAAACCAAAGCTTGTTGCTCACCTAGCTTATAACTCTGAAGAGTAGCTTTGTGAAGCGGAAGGGATTTGTCTTGGGTGAGGTTTTAACAGAAGGGGCTGGCTGAGGAAAGGGGTCAAGGGCCATGTGTGACTAACAGCATGGTGCTCAGAGTTCCTCACTTTCTAACAGACTGGGCTAGGGGCCTCTGTTTCACAGAATTGTCCTCAGGACTTTCTGCTGACACTAAAGCATGCCTAGAAAGGAGGGGCATCTGTGACAGGGGTAGCGCTGCCACTAATGTTGGTTTTTTTCTTTTGGTACAGGGGATCAAACTCGGGTCCTTGCACTTGTGGGGCAGGCAGCGGAACCACTGAGCTAAATCCCTGGCCCTAATGTTGTTTGTTTTTTTAACAGCGAGAACTTTCAAAGGCTTCCAAATCTGATACTACTTCTCGAATCCTCAATTCAACCAACATCCAGTCCTAAGAAGCCCTGACCAGGCAGTCAGCTGGACTTATTTATATGGGGGGCTGGAGTGTTTCTTCAGTTTAACTCAAGAAATACCTTAAAACTTAGTTTATAGCAGTAAGTACAAATTTTAGCATCTGGGACCTAATATCCTTCTCTATCCCTTAACTGTACTTGGTTAAGCATGATCCAGGGCTTGTTGCATTTCACTGTTGTGCAGGCAAATGACTGACTGCCCAGCTTGGGCCATAAGTTTGGCTTGTATACTTGTAATTAGCAATTAACATTTTTTAAAATCCAGGGATGTCCAGTTAATGCTATGGTTCTTTTTTTTTTTTGGTACCGGGGATTGAACTTAGGACCTTGCGCTTGCAAGGCAGGCGCTGGAACCACTGAGCTAAATCCCTGGCCCCAGTGCTACAGTTCTGATAGCTTTGCCCTCACTCAAAGGCCTGTCCCCCATCACACTGAGGAGATCTGTGTCAGCATTTAACTGCCAAAGAGTGATAGGTGGCTGGGAGCACCTTTGTTAAATTGTGTACAGCTTGTTACAGAGTGCAATCCCTTTGGGGGTCTGGGTGAACACACATGCTGTCTGAAGCGCTTCCTCAGGGCCTGATCCCAGCCCTGTGCCCAGTATGCTGGTGTCCTACCCCTGCAGCCAGGTGGGGCTGCTTCTGCTGTGGAGTCCAGCACCTTTGCACATGTCACTACTGGGGCTTGTCCCTACAATAGCATCTGCATTGAGGCTCTCTACCTGCTCTGTCCATCACTACGCTCTCCTAAAGCACTATTATTTATTCTTTCTCTACCTGGGACACATCAAAATGGTTCTCAAAAGCTTATCAGTGTGGACTTAGTTGCTCTGTCAGACATGCTGTTTAGTTACATGTACACTTGTCTCATTTTAAAAATATAAATTCTTAAAAATAAATTAAAATGTGTATAGATACTTTTCAAAAAGATATATGTGTTTTTCATTACTCCCCAATAAATTTTTGATTGCCAAAAAGATGTACAAGTAGTGGGCCGGGGATTTAGCTCAGTGGTTCTGCTGCCTGCCTCACAAGTGCAGGATCCCAAGTTCAATCCCTGGTGCCCCCCTCCAAAAAAAAAAAAAAAAGATATACAAGAGCAGGGCTTGGTGGTGTAGGTCTATAATCCACAGCACTTAGGAGGCTGAGGCAGTAGGATCACTGAGTGCAAGGTCAGCCTAAACTACATGAGCTCCTTTCTCAAAATTCCTAACTAAAAAAAACTTGTATATTTTTATATTCTAAATTAAGAATGCTGGGGCCAGGGATTTAGCTCAGTGGTTCCGCCACCTGCCTTGCAAGTGCAAGGTCCTGAGTTCAATCCCCGGTACCAAAAAAAAATAAAAATAAATAAAATTAAGAATGGTTGAGAGAAATAACCTGAGTAGTCAGGGTTACAATTATACACTATTATGGCCTACATACTTTTTTTCATTGGTAGTGTTGGGATCAAATCTAGGCTTTGCTTGTGCTAGGCAAGTGCTCTACCCAAACCCCCCCCTTTGTTTGAGACAAGGTCTTGCAGAGTTGCCCAGGCTGAGCTCGAACTTGTGATCTTGCTTCAGGCTCCTAAGGGGTTGGGATTACATGCATGTACCACCATGCCTGGTTCAAAAAAGATATTTAATAGAAAGCTGTCAACTGGGAGAAGATATTTGCAAATCATGTCTGACTTGCTCTGACCCTGACTCACATCCAGAATATATAAAGAACTTCCAAAATTCAAGACAAGAAACAATGGGCTAAGAGAGAAGGCTACAACCTGTATCAGAACAAAAGTGTGACTAATGCAATGTAGTACAGACCAATAGAGAATAAAGGCTCAGAAACAGACTCAACTAAAAGGGAATGTTAGTTTATGATAATTTTTCATTGCTGTGACAAAATACCTGAGAAAACTTGAAAGATTTGCTTTGGTTCACAGTTTCAGAGATTTTGGTCTGGTTGGCCAGCTCCATTGCTTTTAGGCCTGTGGTAGAAATGCAGCAAGACTGGAGGAGGGGGCCGGGGATTTAGCTCAGTGGTACCACACCTGCCTTGCGGGCGGCAAGGTCCTATTTGATCCCCAGTACCGAAAAAAAAAAAAAGTGGAGGAGGAAAGATGCTCACCCTATGGCAACCAGGAAGCTGACAAGGGAAAGAGCTGAAGGCCATGCCCTAAGTGACTCCCTTCATCTAGTTAGGTGCCACCTCCTGCTAAGTCTGTTGAGCTATGAACTCATCCATACATTAATCCTCTGACAAAGTTAGGGCCTCTGTGATCTGATCACTTCCCAAAAGCCCCATCTCCAAACATGTGAGCCTTAGGGTGACTTTTTTTTTGGTACCGGGGATCAAACTCAGGACCTTGCACATGTGAGGCGGACGCAATGCCACTGAGCTAAATCCCCGGCCCAAGGGTGACATTTTAGATTCAGGCACTAACAATAACCATAGCATTTCAGATCCCTGGGGTACCAGTCAGTCATTTTTTAAAAATATATATTAAGCCAGTAATCCCAGCACTTGGGAGGCTAAGGCAGGAGGATTGCCATGAGTTCAAGGAGAGCTTGGAATACACAGTGAGACACTGTCTCAAAAAAAAAAAAAAAAGACAGGGCCAGGGATTTAGTTCAGTGGTTCCGGCGCCTGCCTTGAAAGCACAAGGTCCCAAGTGCAATCCGCGGTACCCCTCCCCGAAAAAAAAAGACATACTAATACCATAGGATGGAATAAGCTCCAAGTGGATCAAGGGTTTAAATATGAAAAATGAAATGGCACTAGAAAACAAAATTGAAGGTTAAGTTCCTCTATAAAGTGCAATGGAATAAGTTTTCTACAACTGAAAAGCCACATGGAACAAAAGACCAATAAATTTGGACACAAAAACCTTTGCAAGGGAAACCAAAGGACAGCTGACAAGCCAGGAAAAATATTTCCCAAATCTGTCACAAAAGGACATGATAGTGTCCTAAAGAATACAGAGTTAAGCAGAAATCCCTCTCTGCATATAGGTGACAGCTGTGCTGCCAAAACCTTTCTGATGTGACTATGCTGGAGCTCTGGAGTCTACTGAAAGGCCTGCGAGCTGGCCACAATGATACATGCCTGGAGTCCAGCTACTCAAGACCAAGGCAGGACCACCACAAATTTTGAGGCCAGCCTGGGCAAGGCGGTTCATTTTGGTCAATTTTAGCCCTTAATCCAATAGTGGCTATCCCACTCCATGACCCCTAGACAGCCACACTTCTAGGGCAGACTATACACAGCTTATGGGAGGCAGGGTGAGCAATAAAGGCCCTGCCCTCCCAGTACCAGGGTCCTATAATAGAGACAGGGAAAAAGAGGTGGCCTATTACCATAAGTCCCACCACACTGCAGACTCCTCTGGCTGAAGAAGCTTCCAGGGGTTTAAGGGCCTAGTGCTCTTTCTGTGTTGTTTTTTCCCCTTTGCAAGATATTCAAAGACTAGGACAAGCCAAAGTGAAGGCATATACAGCTGAGTTAATGGTTACTGCACATGGCCAGGAAAAGGTACAGGCTCAGAAAAAAACCTCAGAAGACCTCAAGTTATACCTCAGGCTGATTCCCCACACAGACACCCTACAACAATAATTTTAATATGCAAACCCTGTAAGAGGAGAATCTAATTTTCAGACTTATCACATTATAGGATACAAACATCTAGTTTTCAACAATAACAAAATCACAAAGCATCTAAAACAGGAAGGTATGGCTTAGTCAAAGGAAAAACTGAATTAGAAAACTGAGAAATACCAGATTGTGCACCTGCTCAATAAAAACTTAACAACTGACTAAACGATGCTCAAAGAGATAAAGGAAGATATGGATAAAATATTTTTAAAAGCCAGGTGGCACACACCTTGTGATCTCAGCATTGAGGAAGGAGGATCACAAGTTTGAGGGCAGCCTAGGCAACTTAATGAGTCCCTGGTCTCAAAAAAGGTAAAAAGGGCTGGTGATGTAGCTCTGCACTCCCTGGATTCAATCATCCCAAAACTGATAATCTAAAAGCAACAAAAGAAATCTAAAAGACGACTCATAGCCAGATATGGTGGTACATGCCTGTAATCCCAGCACCAGGAAGGCTGAGGCAAGAGGATCACTGTTTGAAGCCAGCCTGGTGTCTCAAAAAAATAAATAAAACTAAAACAAACAAAAAAAAACCAAACATGGCAAAATATATTTCAAAAACATTAACTATCAAAAGATTTACATGTTGGGCCAGGGATTTGGCTCAGTGGCACATCACCTGCCTCGAAAGCGCAAGGTCCTGAGTTAAATCCCCAGTACAAATTAAATAAAATAAATAAGAATACAGATCACTAAATACAAAAAGTTTTAGTAGGACATTAGACTTGAACAGATAATTCACAACAGAAAAACTCCTCTAACTGCCAGTAAAGAAATGAAAAGCTGTTCAACCTCATTAGTACTTGGGGAAATGCAGATTAAGCCGCTGGCCGTCCATCCATGTCTAAGCTGCAGCAGAGCCCACACCACTGCTGGCAGGCATGCATGCAGTAAAGTTAAAGATGTCTCTACCACCAATGTCTGCAGAACCCATGCACGTGTGCATGTGCACAAGAGTGCCCATCAAAGGGCTATGTGGTGAACGAGGTAGAGAACAAAAAGAACCATCAGTGGAAGAATACAGAGCTTAAGCTACATTCATAGAGTAGAAAATGAGTAAATTAAAAAAAAAAAAAGTAAATTTCAAGATACAACATGATGGATCATGGGACTCTGAGTGGAAAGGTGAAACACAAATATACACAAAACGAAAGCCCGGTGTGGTGGAGCATGCCCGTAATCCAAGCCCCAGATCGCCACGAGTTCAAGACCAGCCTGGGCCACACAGCAAGACCCTGTCTCCAAAACAAAATACATGAGGGCCGGGGATTTAGCTCAGTGGTTCTGCCTCCTGCCGCACAAAATCCCAAGTTCGATCCCTGGTACCAAAAAAAAAACAAACCAAACCAAAAAGCCCCAAAATAACATACGCAAAATGACTACTTACTACTGTTTAAAAGCAGACAAACAATTGTACAGTAAGTTCCTTACTTAGAAACATCGGAGTTGCAAACTTTCACAAGAGTACTGTAAGAGACTCACTTTGTCCGATCTAGGAATGAATCCTGGAACAGAACTTGTTCATAAATCAGGACTTACTGTATAAGGGTGCATACAAGGGTGGTAAAGTTCTGAATTAAATAAGGACATGAGTGGTAATAAATGACCTCGGTCTGCTGTGCTTCACAATCACCTGGGTGACATCCCCTGAGGTCCAGGCCCTGTAGACCCAGGGCTCTACTTGGTGCAGGGAGGTGGGGAAAGGCAAGGCTGCAATGAGGAGGGCCATAGTAGGGCCTCTGGGTGCTGGCATGGGTTTCCCCCGACTGGAGTGAGAGTTTCACAAAGTTGGCAGCTTTATCATTTTAAAATATACCATACTTTTATTCATTTTTCTACGTATTTTAAAACTTGAACAATCCATCTACACATCAGCTGTTCCCATTCTCCACGGCATACACATAGGTGTTCCAGGGCCCACAGGTGACAGTTTTTACTTGAAGCTGTTTATCTACAAAGTATTCCACGCGGCAGGGCCGGTCCAAGCTGGCACTGTCCTTGTGGCCGAGCTGTCCGTATTTACCTAATGCCAAACAAGCCCCTTTGCCATCCTCTCTCTGGGAAGGAAGCCTGTCCTCCAGCCTGCTGCTTCCTGCTCTGAATCCAGGAGCCTAGAGCCAGAAAGCGGCAGGGACAGGCAGACCCAGGGGAAAACCAGGAAGAGCTTCCTCCAGGCTTCGATACTACCTGTGCTGCACACAACATTCAGACCTCAGACTGGCACTCTATCTTTTCTCTACCCAGAGCCAGAACACAGATGTTTTGTAAATGCTGGCTAAATGCTCCATCAGAAAGGTAGAATGGGCAGTACTGATGTCATCTTGTTTCTGCAACATCTGAGCTTGGAGTGTGCCTAGATCCCTTCCCATTCGGTGCAGGGACATAGTGTTTCAATCCTTTTCCTCCCAGTGTTCAGCCAAGGCCCCCACTTCCTGTAAGTCTGTGGTTTTGTCACCTATCCTGTCCTCCTAGGTCTTTCCTTGGTTTAAGGGTCATAAAAAACAATCCTTTTAGCTGGAAATGGTGGCACATGCTGTAATCCTAGCACTCTTAAGGTTGAGGCAGAATTGCTGAGAGTTCAAGGCCAGCCTGGGCTACATAGCAAGTCCCTATCTCAAAAAAAACAACAGGGCTGGGGATTTAGTTCAGTGGTTCCAGTGCCTGCCTCTTGAAAGCACAAGGTCCCGAGTTCAATCCCCGGTACCAAAAATCAAAAAACCCCAATCTTTTTACTTACCCCAGCCCCAGGTGTACAGCTCTCCTGTTCCTGCAACCGAAAGGACAGTAAAAAAGTCACTGTTGTTCTTGGCAAGGCATCCAACTGTCCTAGCATGCCCAAGCCACACCCAGTATGTTACAACCCTGAGAGACGGGCCTGGCAGAGAACAGCTTCCTCTGTGTATGAGCATGCAAGCACAGGTGGTGTCGTAAGTGAGCAAGCTCACAGAGAAGTCTGTCCTGTATGTCACCTGACGGGCTTGCATCTCAGGGCTGCTGAGTTGAGGTTGGTGTGGGGAACCTGTGGAGCCCTGCCTGGAGGATGGAGAATATCAGCTTCCCTCGAAGGAGCAATCTTCTGGGCCTGATGGGCTGGGAGCCCCTGCTAAGCTACAGGGGTACACCAGCTTGATCTGATGAGGAGGTGGCTACTCAGTATGCATCAAAGATGCCTCAACATGGGTTTGTGGGGATTTTTTTTTGCAGTACTGGGGATTGAACCCAGGGCCTTTGCACTGAGCAACATCCTCAGCCCTTGTTGGATTTTTTTATCATCAATCTTTGGGGGGGGGTACCGGGGATCAAACTCGGGACCTTGTGCTTGTGAGGCAGGCAGCGGAACCACTGAGCTAAATCCTCGGATCTTTTCTTCTATCACCTCCTCCTCCTCCCCCTCCCCCTCCTCTCCTCCTCCCTCTTCTCCTCCCTCTCTCTTCTTTTCCTCTTCTTCTTCTCTCTCCCCTCTTCTCTCCTCTCTTTTCCTCTTCTTCTTCTCTCTCTCCTCTCTCTCTCCTCTTCTCTCTCTTCTTCTTCTTCCTCCCCCTCCCCCTCCCTCTCCCTCCAGGGTCTCACTGTGTAGTTCAGGTAGGCCTTGAAGTCACTACGGAGCCCAGTTTTTTTGAGGCTGACCTCAAACTGGCGGCAATCTTCCTACCTCAACCTCCCAAGGGTTGGGATTACAGGAGTGTGCCACCACGCCTGGCCGCCTGTATTTTTTATTTTGAGACAAGGTCTGACTGAGTCACTAAGTTGTTCAGGCTGGGCTCAAACCCAGAGTGCTGGGATTATAGGCGTGCTAGGGGTGTAGCTCAGTCAGCATATGCAAGGCTCTGGGTTTGGTTCAGCACACACAAATTTTTTTTAAATTGCCACCAACTTCCTGCAGCCCCCACCCAGAGTGCCACCTAGCTCCATTCTGAACCAGCCTGCCCATCCCCACTCACGGGTAACCACAGCTGTATGCCGGGATCCACAGCTGACCCCGACTGCCTCTGAGCCCAGGGGAAGGTCCAGCAGGGCTGGGAAGGGCTGGATGGCTATGAAGGGTGCAGGGGCCTCAGCTGCTCTCTCCACTTTGGAACCATCTTCATTCAGCCCTGTGTTGGAGGGAACGATTTCAAGGGTGGTTAACAGAGCTGAACCTCATCACACTCCTTACTACAATGACTCTGCCCAGCACATTATTCTCAGCCCAGGCTGCTGCTCCCAACCCCATTCACAGAAGTGATGGAGGTGGTGGCCTTGAAGGCAGTGCAGTACCAATTAACACTGGCACCAGCCTTGCCAATGTTCCACCTGGAAGGGGCTCCAAATCCTATGGTGTCTCCAGGTGACAAGGAAGTCACATATGCCCCTGAAACTGAGAGTCAGGAATGACAGTAACGTCCCAGGTGAGGCTGACCTTCATCTTCCCCTGTGTCTGTCCTCTTGCCCTCTGCCAGGCTCCTCGTGGGCAGGGCCAGCTGCCCAGATTCATTCCAGCCCCAGATATAAATGTCCCCAGTCTCTGAAAGGCATTGAGGGGATCCATGAAGCAGACTGAGCCCCCTTCCATCCCTCCATGCTGCCTCAACCCTCCTGTCAGCTCCTGGGGACAAATACAGCCTGCTGCCTGCCAGGCAAGGGCACCCCTCAAGCCCCTGGCTTTGTGTCTCAAGTTCCCTGCCCCCAGTTAAACTAACTCCCTCGCTGGACCACTTGCCTTCTCCACTTTGTCTTACGTTGCTAAACTGCACCCCCACATCGCTGAGACTTCCCCAATGTCCCCCTTTGAATCCCACAGAGGTAGCTTGTGCCTCCGCCCCTGGTCCCACCAGGGCCTGTGACACCCAACACTCCAGAGCACTAATTCGAGAACTCACCAGCCACAGTAGCTCATTGTACAAAGGGTTTCATCTGCGCTGATGCTTTATGCGCTTTTCAAATAATACAATACAATCATTTAATTCTCATGACAGCCCTATGGGGAGCTCTCTGACAGTGTCACCATTTTACAAAATATCCTCATGAGACCGCAGAGGTACAGAGAGCTTAAGAACCAGCCTGAGGTCACAAGACAGAGTGATGATGTGAAACTCAGAAACACAGCTTGCCGCCTCCATGCTTCAATTTCTGCTCAAAACACAAGGCCTCAAATGCGAGGCTTCCCTTGGGGCTGGATTCTGCCCTCCCACCCAGGACTCTCCAGCTTGGCTGCCTTCCCGGGCCCAAGGCATGATATGGGCCTGGAAGGGGAGTGGAGGAGGTGGTGGTGCTTAAAACCCCAGGTGAGCTAAGTAGCAGCCACACTGACAGCCCCCACACAGACAAAGCTCACCTGCACCCAGCCCCACCCTCTCCGCGTGGGCTCCAGAAGCTCAGGAAATAGCTTCACCTGAGGGCCGGCCATGCACCTCCTCTCACAATCAATCTCTCTGTCCTCCCTGCGGGGCCCGTGTCTCCACTACCCCCAAAGCCATCTTGTCTCTCTTGGGTGGACTTCCCTTGGCATTCCCTGAACCTTAGGTAGAAAGACAACACTGGCTGCTGGCAGGTGACAGATGCTGTCACAGTCAGTAACAGGACAGGACTGAGCTACCACAGTCCAGGAGAGAGGGTGGTGGCCCAGGCAAGAAGAGCACCTAAATGATGGGCCCACTGATGTGGGGTTTCTTGGAAGAGGGGTTGGCCTGGAGATGGTGAGCTGTCTGGGGAAGCCCTAGGTCACTCACCGCTCACACACACGGAGTGCCAGCCCCCTGCGGCCAACTGGCTCATGGGCAGGCCCTGCAACGCCTCCAATGGCCTTGGCTCCGGCTCCGCCTCCAGCGTGCCGTGGCCCAGCTGTCCATGTCTGAGAAACGAAGTCCCAGTCAGGCAGGCACACGGAAGGGTCCCCTCCTACCGCCTCTCTGCACCCCCGCGGCCTCACCTGCCCCCGCCCCAGGAGAACACCTGGCCAGCAGCGTCCAGCAGTAGCGCATGCTCAATGCCCAGCTCCAGGCGGCGCGCGCGCAGCTCCGGGGCCAGGGCGCGGCGGAGGGGCGGCTGCAGACTCACGTAGGCCCTGGAGCCGGGCAGCAGAGGCAGTAACCCCGTCCGGCCCTCGGCGCCCGGCTCATCTCCCTCCTCGGCCTCCGGGTCCTGGGCCCAGAGCGGCTCCCCACGCAGCCCAGAGCCCGGCGGCCAGGCCTGCAGCTCCGCCCGAGACCCTGAGCGGTCGCGCAGCAGCACGAGAAGCCCCTCGGAGGCCCACGCGTCCCTGCAGCCGTCTGCCGCGCCGCTCGCGGAGCCCGACAGCTCCACGCGGCCTCCGCCTGTGGGGAGAGTGGGATGGGACCCGGGCCGGAGTGGGGAACGGTGGGAATGCGGGGCGAAGGGTGGGGCTGGGTAGAGAGGGGCCCGGAATGCGGGAGCAAGTGTGACACACGTGACTGGGATGGGGGGGGACACGCTCACGGGTCACCAGGGCGGTGTAGCTCCAGCTCGCGCTCACGTGGCAGATGTCCCCGCCTGCCCGCAGCGGCTCGGGACTGAGCACTTGATGCTCCCGCCCCGAGCCCGGATCCTGCCCGAAGCCGCAGAATCCGAATCCGAACCAGGCCCCAGGCCGCTCCTCGGCCATGCCTGGGGCCGCGGACGGAGGTTGGGACTGGAACCCAAGAGATTCTCGCAGATTAGCCCGGGACTGCAGCCCCCTTACCTGCAAAAAAAGAGATATTGTCGCACAGCCAGGGGCAGAATCCCTGCACACACACCTGCAGGCCTCGCCCGAAGTCCTGCCAGCTTTACAAGGTTCTTAACTATCAGGGTGTCACGTGTTGGCTTCGCCTAGGGCCTCGGACCAGGATCCGAGGCCCCACTCCAGCCCCGACTTTACTCCACGTGATCGTGGGGACCAGAATTGGCCCCCTCTTACAGCAGTCACCAGAGCAAATGACCGTACCAATCAGAGCCAAGGCGGGGCCCCGAGTCCAGGTCCCGCTGGCCCACATGGGCACCGGGCCACACGTGCCCCAATAGCCAACTTGATTCACCTGCGCCCAGTTCCATTTCTTCAGTTTTACAAAGGGGGGATGGGAAGAGTGCTGTTGGACCCTACTCAAATAGGTGTTTGTAATAAATGCAAATAAAGGCTCCAGCGCTGGCAGTGTTAGTTCAGTAAGTCCAGCACTTAAAGTTGACAAAAATGGGCATTGTACATCTTACTAGTGTTCAGAGACCTAGATAGCTACAGTTTCCACTGGATCACATGTGGTCACTTAGTCGTTCAATAAGCCTTCACTGAGCCCTCACTAAGGACCAGCGTGGATGCTGTCTGCCCCAGAGGAGCTCATACTTAACGGGGAGCTTAACGGACCTTCTTCGGTTCCGACGGGCAACGCCACCGCCTCGGTGCAGCAGGTTCGGCTTGATTAGAAATTCACGGCATTTTCAAGCCTCTAAAGTCAGATCTTGGGTTCTCCTGCGACCACAGCTCCTGGGCTCCCAGCCCCTTCCATGTTCACTTCCAACTCAAGGAGCTCTGACTTTGATCTCGGGCCAGTGCCTGCCACCTTTCGACCAAATCTTCCTGGAGCGCAGAGGCACTTCCAGCTCGGCTCCAGCAGGACAAGATTGAAAGGCTGCGCGCCGAACGAGGCGGCCATTGGCTGCAGCAGCTTCCCCAGGGCCAATCCCTCGCTAGGGCGGTAACGTCACCCCTTGGAGCGAGGCGGACCTAGGGCTGTGCTCACCTCACCGCGGATTCCTCTCGGGACTCAGCTCCAGCGTTCAGGCCCAAGGGACGAAGGCGATCCCGTCAATGAAATTCGCCGGGCGAATTTCGTAGTTACTGAGGGTAACTACGAACACTGTCGCGAAACTGTTGGCGAAGACGACGCCCTAGACGTGGACACAACCATTTCCCGCGTCTGGGCCACAGCTCACTACTGCCCATGCGCAGAACAGAAACGTCCGAAACAGGAAGAGCTTGTAGAGGCATTTCTTCCCTTCCACTGATTGGCTCGGGCCCCGTCACTTATATCCACCTAGACCAATAAACTTTATCCTGAGCTTAGGCTCGGGAAATGGGCCGCCCCTGGCAGGCAACCACCTTTCCTCCAAGCAGGTTTAACAGCAGGATAAACCAGTTTTTCCGCAAATACCCACAACCCACCAACCCAAATCCCAAGCACTGCCTCACTAGAGATCACCGATCTAAAGACAGGGGTACCGAGGGGCTAGCATTTAGGCGTCTGTACCTTTCCACTAAATTGTTTAATTTTTGTTTAACAAGTTTATTGGTTACTTCCTAGGCTCAGCCCTTGGTCCTCCAACAGCATTAATAATCAACTGGGGGGGGGGGAATTTAGCTCAGCGGTTCCACCACCTCCTAAGCACAAGATCCGGAGTTCGATTCCTGATACCAGAAAGAAAAAAGAATCACCTCAGGGCCTGGGATTTAGCTGAGTAGCACTGTGCCTGCCTCGAAGGTGCAAGGTCCTGAGTTCGATCACCGGTACCAAAAAACAAAAAGTTTATAGGGGCACAGTTTGTAATAGCTAAAACTTGGAAACAGCCCAACTACCCATTAACTGGAGACTGGATAAAGAAGATGTGGTTTTATAAAATGGAGTACTACTCAGCCATAAAGAATCAGAAACTAGAGACATTTATAGCTAAATGGATGCACACTGAGGCTATACTCTTAAGTGAAATAAATAGGACACATGTGTGTAAATACTGAATAGTTTCTCTGGTGTGAGAAACAAAGTGTAAGGACCAAAATGTATAACTGATAATCTGAAATAGGAAGAAAAGGTCTAAAGGAGTAGGGGAAGAGGGAGGGGTAGGGGAAAGTAAAGAAGGGAAAAGAAAAAAGGAAAAAAGGAAAAAATGGAAACAAAGTCGTTGTAAATAGGGAAGGATGGAGGGGGTGAAGGGAAAGCAGGGGAAGGGGGAAAAAATAAGAACCAAGATACATCATTTACAGGTTCAAGATCCCAATGATGAATGTAACTGTATTGTATACCTAAACTGTACCAATAAACTTAATGGAGGGAGATCAACTCAGTGTGTCCTGGGGAGGGGGAGTGCAGTGGATCCCTCTTTAGAGGTGGTCTCTGACCCATCTCCATGCCCATCTCCTGACCCTCCCTCCATAACCCTCCCTTCCTGTCCAGGAACAGGACACACATCTGAGCCCCACACAATTTATTATAGAGGGCGGCCAGCAGCAGGCTCAAAGACAGATGCTCACATGTGCTGAGGCCACAGGGTGTGCTTCTTGAGGCCCAGAATCCACAGGTAGGATAGGTCTGTACCTTCCCTACCTCTGCAGAGTACAGAAAAAACAGTGCTCCCTGAATGAGGCTGGAGGCAGTGCTGGCAGAGCACAACAGTGTGGCTGAATGTGGACCCTATCAGAACAGAGATCAGAGTCCGCTAGGGAGGAGCCGCTGTGTTTGGCATCCCAGCCCCCATCAGCCAAAGCGGCTCTGTTCTCCTTCTCCATGCTGTGATAGTGAGCGTGTGTGCATGAGCCTTGGGGTGGGGCAGCCCCTCACTTTCCGCCCTGATTGGGCTGGATAAGCCCATATTCCACCGCTTTCCCCAGGCAGGCAGCAGCAGCCCTTGTGATGGGGCCCTCCTCGCCCTTAGCCAGCACCAACAGGATCTCCAGCATCTCGCTCTCCATCAGGGTGCTGGCAATCTCCCTCGAGGCCTCCACCATGTTCACCACCACCACGGCCCCCCGGTGCTGCAGCTCCTGGTTGGGGCTCAGAAGCAGGGCTTGCAGGATCTCCAGCCAGTGTGTGGTCTGTGAGAAACGGGACAGGTGTGATCAAGAACATCAGGCTCAATGCTAGTGAACACATCCATTCCCCCTACACCAGGTGGGGGTTCATGGGTGCACAGACACTGACCACTTGGGGGATGCGGCTGCACAGGGAGGGCCGCATGGAGGTGAGCATGGCCAGGCCCCCGGCAGCTGCCCGCTGTAGCAGTTCATCATCCTCTCCACTGTACAGCACCAGCAGCTTCAGCCGGTCACTCCCCTGTGCTTCAAAGAGGTCCTGTACCTGTGCCCCAGTTGGGGAAGAGGACAGTATCAGCTAGACATGAAGCCAAGCCCGAGCACAGCACCCTGTGCACCCCTGCCTGCCACAAGCTCCAGGGTCAACCGCACCTCCTTGCTCAAGGCCAGGTTACACATGCACTCCGTGGCTGCCCGGCGGAGCATCTCGTGCTCCTCGAACATGTAGCTCTCGATCATGGGGACAGCCTTCTCCTTCAGGATCTTCTGTCTTCGGGACAGAGATGGATGTGTCAGCACCGTCAGAGCCTCTGTCCCATACAGTCCCATAGAGCTGAGCCCAAGCCAAGCCCTTGGCAACGCCCAAGGTCCCTCATGCACCAGGCAGGAACTACACTGCTTTCCAGCTTTCGACCAGGGCTGGGAAATAGCACAGACTTGTGCAGAATGGTCACAACTAGGAGATAGGGGACCAGGGTGGTGGCAGGGCATTTGAGCACTTGCCCTGACCAGCGCTTGCAATGTCTTTCTTAATTCTCCCCACAACCTTGCTCTGAAGGTGCAGGGCTGATTGTCTTATTATCTCAAAGGAGGAGAAACAGGCTGCGTAGTGAGCCCTGGTGCCTGGGGTCCTGACTGGGCCCATTGCTAGAGGTCAGGCATCTGAACACAGAACACTTCTACATGCATTTTCTCATTTCATTCTCACCACTATTCTGTGAGGTACATGTCATAATCATCTCATTCACAGAGAGAGAAACTGAGGCACAGCAGTTAAGTAATTTGAGGTTACACACTGGTAGCAAGTGAAGCCAGGATCTGAACTCAGGTGGTATCTCTTGGCCTCATGTGCATGAGGCTCAGAAAAGCCAATTACCACCTGGGCATGGTGGCACAAGCCAGCAATTCTAGCACTCTGGGAGGCTGAGGCAGGAGGATACAAGTTTAAGCCCAGTCTAGGTAGCTCAGTGACTTAAGACTCTGCTTCATTATAAAAAAATTTTTTTTGTTTTGTTTTCGTTTTTTTTGGTGCCAGGGATCGAACTCAGGTCCTTGCCCTTTCGAGGCAGGCAGCAGAGCTACTGAGCTAAATCCCCAGCCCCATAATAAAAAATTTTAAGAAGTACTTGGTACATCATTCCCTAGTAACACACACAAACACACTCACGTGTGCGCATAAGTGCACTCCCACCAATCATCACAGAATGTTTTCCCAACTGTAAATACTCTACTAGGGGTGATCCCAATCCCAGCACCTGGTCAGGCCCCCCACCCCACAGGCCCTCACCGGAGCCTCTCACTGATCCCGGCCAGGTTTGTCAGGGCCATGAGCGCCTCGAAGTTCTGCAGTCCCGAGCGGTCAAGGTGCAGCAGGGAGACAAGGGGCCGGACCACCTCATAGATCTGTGATACACATGCCACCTGTCAGGGCCACTTGACGCACCCCCTAGCCACCGCTCAGGCCGATCCACTCTAAGAGCTGCTCTCTGAGGCTGCCCCTCCCTACCCAGGCTCAGAAAGCCACCCCTTCCTGTTGGTCCCGAGGCCACAGGCCATGAGGACCCAGGCAGGGGACAGAGAAGACAGGCCTGCGGCAAGATGGCACGCACCCGCTCACCAGGGAAGGTCATCTCTGGGTTGGAGGTGATGGTGAACCTGGCGAGGGCTTGGGCAGCCTTGGTCTTCCCCGTGTTGGTGCCTTCCAGGGCCAGTGGGATCAGCGCCTGGAGGAAGGAGTCCTTCAGCACCAGGACGGAGCCAGGGTCCAAGGCCCAAGCCCTGAGCCCTTGCTGTGCCCTCAGCCTTCCTTCTCTCCAGGCTGACAACATCCTCTTAGTTCACCTCACACTGCCCAGGCTCTTGCTGCAACACCCAGATGGGGCCAGATCTGAACCAGGCTGGGCACTAGGCCATGGAGGAAAACAAGCCAGTGAGGACGAGGTATGCTTGGACCTTATGGGCACAGTGAGGGACCCTGGGGAGCCACGTCAGACCTCCTCTGTCTGCAGGAAGATGGTCCCGCTGCTCCCTAACAATGTTTTTCCATGCTCCACCAAGCCCAACCTCTGGCATAGGAGCCAGTGGGTCCTGGATCACAGGCAGGTGATACAGTGTTGCTTACCTTGCCCCCGCCCTGAGCCACCACCACACCTCGGTCCTCCACCTCCTCCACCAGAGCCAGGAAGACCCTGTGGGGATACAGCAGGCAGCCAGTGGTAGCCCACGGCTCAGGCCCGGCCTGGCAGGAGTTGGGGGTGCCCTCCCTGGCAGCTCACCTGGAGAGCAGCTCTCGGCAGGATTTGGTCAGCACCGGGCTCTCAGTCTTCACCATGCATGTCATGGCTGACACCACACCAGCTGCCAGCAGCTTCTTCACCCTTGCCCGCACGAAGCTGGGCTTGTCCTAATGAGGGAGGCAGCTCAGGGGGCCTTGTCCCACTAGACTGGGAGAGGGGACCTTTCCCACTGAAGACACTGATGTTCATCGAAGGGAAATGGCCAGCTTCCAGGAAGGCTGCTCTTTGGCAGATGCCCTGGGCCAAAGGTCCCAAGAACAGGGAGACCTGCCTCACCTTGGGGTGCTGCTCAGGCACGTGCTGTTTGGCGTACTTGGCCAGCTCCACCATCTTGGGGTCAGGTTCCTCATAGTCGTAGCTGTTAGTGCAGTTGACTAGGGCCGAGGCCACTGCGAAGAGCACAGATCTCTCCTCAGACTGCCAGGGTAGAGGGGCATTCAGCAGGCCAGGCGGGGCCACAGGAGGACCAGACCCCTGGATCTCCCCAGACCCTGGGACTCAGGGAGCCCGCAGTCTGTAACCCCAGCCCCTCCAGAGAGGTCACCCTTCCTGACACTGCTGGTGCCCACACCCATGGAACAGCTTTCCTTCCTCCTGGGACAGAGTCCCAGGGTGACAGCAGGAACCCAGGAGCTACCTTGCTGAACTGGAAGAGAGCTTTCAGAGCGGCCCCGTCCTCCACAAACTCTTCCTTCACATCGGCGTCAAAGGTAAGGTAAGCCAGGCCCTCCACAGCCCAGCGCTTCGTGCCTGCATCAATCTGGTCATTGCAAAGCCACCTGGGGACATGCAGGGCAGGGGACAGTGTCAGACCTGGGGAGCATCAGGGGAATTAGCACAAAGGGGGGACTCCAGGGCCTGAGCACCCCTCAACACAATGGAAGCAGGTCACATGCCAGGGTCTCAGGGATCTGCCTGGGCATGGGGGGCAGTGAGGAGGGTCCCCCAAGACCCCCTGTCTCTTGAGGGATTGGACAGGTGAGGAGCCACAGCAATGCCACATGACTCACTTCCGACACTGCTTGGCCAGCTTGAGAGTGGAGCCTTCTGCAAACTGCTTCATGCTAAAGTCA